GGGAAAGCTGGAATTGAGTTTGGGGTCACTTGCCAAAAAAGTTTAGGAATAAGGGGCCAAAAATAAGCATTTTTCTAGTTTCCAGACAATAACTTGTGTTCAAGTGTATGGATCTCTCTGAAATTGTACTGCAAGGTACCATATCACACAGGGAAGGCTGGGATTGATTTTGGGGGTAATTGCCTCAAAATTTAGGAATCAGGGGCCAAAAACGGGCAAAAAACAAGCATTTTTCTAGTTTCATGACAATAACTTGTGTGTAAGTGTATGGATCTTTATGAAATCATACTATAAGGTTCCATATCACAAAGGGAAAGCTGGAATTGAGTTTGGGGGTAAATTCTCAAAACGTTTAGGAATAAGGGGCCAAAAAGGGGCCAAAAATAAGCATTTTTCTAGTTTCCAGACAATAACTTGTGTTCAAGTGTATGGATCTCTCTGAAATTGTACTGCAAGGTACCATACCACAAAGGGAAGGCTGGGATTGATTTTGGGGGTAATTGCCTCAAAATTTTAGGAATAAGGGGCCATAAAGGGGCAAAAAAACAAGCATTTTTCTAGTTTCAGGACAATAACTTGTGTGTAAGTGTATGGATCTTTATGAAATTGTACTGCAAGGTTCCATATCACAAAGGAAAAGCTGGAATTGAGTTTGGGGGTAATTGCCCAAAACGTTTAGGAATAAGGGACCAAATATAAGCATTTTTCTAGTTTCCAGACAATAACTTGTGTTCAAGTGTATGGATCTCTCTGAAATTGTACTGCAAGGTACCATACCACACAGGGAAGGCTGGGATTGATTTTGGGGGTAATTGCCTCAAATTAAGGAATTATGGGGCCAAAAACGGGCAAAAAACAAGCATTTTTCTAGTTTCATGACAATAACTTGTGTGTAAGTGTATGGATCTTTATGAAATTTTACTACAAGGTTCCATATCACAAAGGGAAAGCTGGAATTGAGTTTGGGGGTAATTTCCCAAAACGTTTAGGAATTTGGGGCCAAAAAGGGACCAAAAATAAGCATTTTTCTAGTTTCCAGACAATAACTTGTGTTCAAGTGTATGGATCTCTCTGAAATTGTACTGCAAGGTACCATACCACAAAGGGAAGGCTGGGATTGATTTTGGGGGTAATTGCCTCCAAATTTTAGGAAAAAGGGGCCATAAAGGGACAAAAAAACAAGCATTTTTCTAGTTTCATGACAATAACTTGTGTGTAAGTGTATGGGATCTCTCTGACATTGTACCACAAGGTTCCATATCACAAAGGGAATGCTGGGATTGATTTTTGGGGTTATTGCCTCCAAATTGTAGGAATTAGGGGCCAAAAAGGGGCAAAAAACAAGCATTTTTCTAGTTTCATGACAATAACTTGTGTGTAAGTGTATGGATCTTTATGAAATTGTACTACAAGGTTCCATATCACAAAGGGAAAGCTGGAATTGAGTTTGGGGTCAGTTGCCAAAAAAGTTTAGGAATAAGGGGCCAAAAATAAGCATTTTTCTAGTTTCCAGACAATAACTTGTGTTCAAGTGTATGGATCTCTCTGAAATTGTACTGCAAGGTACCATATCACACAGGGAAGGCTGGGATTGATTTTGGGGGTAATTGCCTCAAAATTTAGGAATCAGGGGCCAAAAACGGGCAAAAAACAAGCATTTTTCTAGTTTCATGACAATAACTTGTGTGTAAGTGTATGGATCTTTATGAAATCATACTATAAGGTTCCATATCACAAAGGGAAAGCTGGAATTGAGTTTGGGGGTAAATTCCCAAAACGTTTAGGAATAAGGGGCCAAAAAGGGGCCAAAAATAAGCATTTTTCTAGTTTCCAGACAATAACTTGTGTTCAAGTGTATGGATCTCTCTGAAATTGTACTGCAAGGTACCATACCACAAAGGGAAGGCTGGGATTGATTTAGGGGGTAATTGCCTCAAAATTTTAGGAATAAGGGGCCATAAAGGGGCAAAAAAACAAGCATTTTTCTAGTTTCAGGACAATAACTTGTGTGTAAGTGTATGGATCTTTATGAAATTGTACTGCAAGGTTCCATATCACAAAGGAAAAGCTGGAATTGAGTTTCGGGGTAATTGCCCAAAACGTTTAGGAATAAGGGGCCAAATATAAGCATTTTTCTAGTTTCCAGACAATAACTTGTGTTCAAGTGTATGGATCTCTCTGAAATTGTACTCCAAGGTACCATACCACACAGGGAAGGCTGGGATTGATTTTGGGGGTAATTGCCTCAAATTAAGGAATTATGGGGCCAAAAACGGGCCAACGGAAAAAAAATTTTGTGGTCGTATATTGGTATGACGTTGGCGTCGTCGTCGTCGTCCGGCGTCATCCGAAGACACATTGGTTTTCGCACTCTAACTTTAGTTTAAGTGAATGGATCTCTATGAAATTTTACCATAAGGTTCAATACAACAAAAGGAAGGTTGGGATTGATTTTGGGGGTTATGGTACAAACAGTAAAGGAATTAGGGGCCAAAAAGGGGCCAAAAATAAGCATTTTTGTAACTTCCAGACATTACTTGTGTGTTAGTGTATGGATCTCTCTGACATTGTACCACAAGGTTCCATATCACAAAAGGAATGCTGGGATTGATTTTGGGGGTAATTGCCTCAAAATTTTAGGAATTAGGGGCCAAAAAAGGGGCAAAAAACAAGCATTTTTCTAGTTTCATGACAATAACTTGTGTGTAAGTGTATGGATCTTTCTGAAATTTTACTACAAGGTTCCATATCACAAAGGGAAAGCTGGAATTGAGTTTGGGGGTAATTGCCGAAACGTTTAGGAATTGGGGGCCAAAAAGGGACCAAAAATAAGCATTTTTCTAGTTTCCAGACAATTACTTGTGTTCAAGTGTATGGATCTCTCTGAAATTGTACTGCAAGGTATCATACCACAAAGGGAAGGCTGGGATTGATTTTGGGGGTAATTGCCTCAAAATTTTAGGAATTAGGGGCCAAAAAGGGGCAAAAAACAAGCATTTTTCTAGTTTCATGACAATAACTTGTGTGTAAGTGTATGGATCTTTCTGAAATTGTACTACAAGGTTCCATATCACAAAGGGAAAGCTGGGTTTGAGTTTTGGGGGTAATTGCCCTAAACGTTTAGGAATTTGGGGCCAAAAAGGGGCCAAAAAACACATTTTTCTAGTTTCCAGACAATAACTTGTGTTCAAGTGTATGGATCTCTCTGAAGTTGTACTGCAAGGTACCATACCACAAAGGGAAGGCTGGGATTGAGTTTGGGGGGTGATGAATCATAAGGGGGTTCAACAAATTTGGGGGGGGGGATTTTTTTTTTTTTCATTTTTTTTCTTTTTTTCCTTTTTTTTTTCTTTTAAAATTTTCCATTTTAAGTTGGTTATTTCTGATTTATATTTAAAAGTAAATAATAATGATATGGTAGGAGATACACACCAAACAGGATGTGTAAATTATTATATAATAAGTATTGTGCAATAGCAAGAAATTTTCAATTGCACAGTATTGCACAATAGCAAGAAATCTTCAATTGCACAGTATTGCGCAATAGCAAGAAATCTTCAATTGCACAGTATTGCACAATAGCAAGAAATATCCAATAGCACAATAGCAAGAAATTGTCAATTGTACAGTATTGCGCAATAGCAAGAAATATTTAATTGCACAGTATTGTGCAAGAGAAGATACTTCCTATAAATTGCTTATTTCTTGACCAATTTCAATGGGGTTTTATTCTTGAATTCTTGGGGTTTTTTAATATGCTGAATCATACCGTGTATTCAGTTTTTGGATTTTGGGCCCCGTTTTTAAATTGGTCCACATTGAGGTCCAAAGGGTCCAAAATTAAACTTTGTTTGATTTCATCAAAAATTGAATTATTGGGGTTCTTTGATATGCCGAATCTAACAGTGTATTTAGATTCTTAATTTTTGGTTCCGTTTTCAAATTGGTCTACATTAAGGTCCAAAGGGTCCAAAATTAAACTTAGTTTGATTTTAACAAAAATTGAATTCTTAGGGTTCTTTGATATGCTGAATCTAAACATGTATTTAGATTTTTGATTATGAGCCCAGTTTTCAAGTTGGTCCAAATCGGGGTCCAAAATTAAACTTTGTTTGATTTCAACAAAAATTGAATATATGGGGTTCTTTGATATGCTGAATCTAACCATGTATTTAGATTTTTGATTTTTGGGCCCCATTGTCAACTTCGTCCACATTGAGGTCAAAAGGGTCCAAAATTAAACTTTGTTTGATTTCATCAAAAATTGAATTCTTGGGGTTCTTTGATATGCTGAATCTAACCATGTATTTAGATTTTGGATATTGGACCATAATAGGTGAATGTCCAATTTAAAATTTTTAAGTTCTTAGACCACATTCATTCTGTGTCAGAAACCTATGCTGTGTCAAATATTTAATCACAATCCAAATGCAAAGCTGTATCAAGCTTGAATGTTGTGTCCATACTTGCCCAAACTGTTCAGGGTTCGACCTCTGCGGTCGTATCAAGCTGCGCCCTGCGGAGCATTTTATTTTCTTTAAAATTTTCCATTTTAAGTTGGTTAGTTCTGATTTATATATAAAAGCAAATAATAATGATATGGTTTGAATAGGTAAATTAAAAAAATTTAAGTTCTTAGACCACATTCATTCTGTGTCAGAAACCTATGCTGTGTCAAATATTTAATTACAATCCAAATTCAGTGCTGTATCAAGCTTGAATGTTGTGTCCAACTGTTCAGGGTTCGACCTCTGTGGTCGTATCAAGCTGTGCTCCAGCGGAGCATTTTATTTGAACATGTAATTGCATCTCCATACTTAATATTTAATGCATAGAATTTCATTAAAGCATCAAAATTATAAATGCAAGCAAAAAATATCTTGATTTACACAATGCACAAGGGTGGTGCAAAAAGCTGAATGTTATACCTCCCTTCTTGAATTATCTTTCAAGGTTTAAGAGGAGTCACTATTTGTTTAAGTATTTTGTTTCTTTTTCAGTGATATAAATAATGCTGCAGCACAGTACATCACTTGAACACAACTATGGACAACTTGCCAAACCACTACATGTACAACAGGTTGAACAAGCCTTAAGATTGGAACCATTTTTGAATTATGTAGAAGACATAATAAATAAACCACCTGCAAATAGGTAAAATTCAATACGAAATTCAAATTGGAAAAATTACAATAATTAAAAGTTTTAAGATATATCTCATGTGATATGCCATTATGCAATCATTTTGGGGGGTTCCTTTTGCAAATCAATGTTTGATAGGATGAAGTAGACTGTTGATTTGTATGATTGTTCGAATTGTCTAAACTCTGTATGAAAATACACAATTGTTTTAGTTTTGTTTCTAAGTCTAAAGTATACTCATCTGTATTCAGAATTTCATCTTCAATATCCTCCGAATCGATTGCATTAAGAATCTATTGATTGAAATCGTTCAAAAGTTTTTTCTTTTCTTCTACACTTTCGAATGTTGCTAAAAGATCCACCCTGGCTAACTCCACTTCGTTTTTCAAATCATCTTTTTTTGGTAAATGTCTTGTCACAACACTTCTGTTCGCTTTCCTAATCGACTTCAGCTTATTCAAATCCTGGTCACGGCACCAAAATGTAGAGAATACGTGAATAAAGAGAAAACGGTCTACATGTTATAATTTGTAATCGATCTATAGAATGCCCAAGTATACAACATTACAAATAATTGGATATGACAGAAATCATCATTCAACCCCTTATAGGAGTTATTGCCTTTGGACGACAATTTTTGCCCACATTTTTGTTTTTTTTGCAGAAACTACAGCAGATAATAAAAATTATCAATAGGACATTATCTACTAATAAGTCAGCATTACTGATATATTGAGTTGATTACTTAGAGGAGTTATAACCCTTGAATGACCATTTTTAAACCGTTTTTGGGGTTTTTTTTGCGTGGGAAAAATTTATAGATATGTAGAGACACTAATGAATAAAAATGATCAGTAGGACAAGATTTTTGTAGATTTTTACATTGAATGTATTTGTATTTTATGATTACTGACATCTTATATACTTTTTGAACTTAATGAAGAAAAGATGCCTGCAAAAGTTGTAATAGATATCATTGTGTGATGTATCCAATTTCATAACATAAATTTATCTATTGAAGCAATTTTTATCATTTGATGTTTTTACCTTCTTGGATATCACTGGCACCACTGTATAACTTGTTATTACAAGTATTTGAATATGTTGTGCTTTCTGACACTTATAGTGAGTATGATAGTACAGATAGTGACTATGATGTTCTACAACCCATGGTTAAAGATAATGAGGGTAGCAAGATATTAAATGGTGTTACAATTACAAAAGCAGGTATGAAATCTTTGACTATTTCAAAAACTTGTCATGCTTGTAAAAGTGTTTGATATGATTGGTAATTGTTTAACTCATGTTTATAGTTTGCATGGAAATATTGTGTATTGTGGATTAATACCACCATTGTGTTTCCGTTATTAGTCTTAGTTGAATTGGCATTTTTCAAAAAAATGTGCAGAATTTATCTTTGTTTCAAATAAACATATACTTGGCATGCCTAAAGTTTTACCCTGTCCAGTACTACAGTGAAAATTTCACATCACATTTCATTGCATATAAGATAATAACCATTACTGGAAGTAAACCAATCAAATTTTCACCCCTTTTTTTCCTTTTTAGAGGCTTTGGTAACCATGTCATCTCAAGTTTCCAAAATATTTTATAGAAACACCAAATTAAGAAAGAATAGTGCTTTGAAACACCCAAGATATATGTTTATGACTCAGAGAAATTTGTTACTGCAATGAAATGTAGGATTAATTTCCTACAACTGTCAAATTCAAGGGGATATTTTTTTTCTACCCTTTTTCGTATAAAACCAGATTTGACGTAGTATGATTTGTTGGTATTACACCTTGTATGATGAGGCATCTAATCTTTTACTTGTCTAAAAATAAAAGGACAATTGCATGCATTTATATAATGTACAAAAATAAAAGCCTCGACTAGTGAAAAATTCTTTTTTCTCTGATATTGAATTTTAGATATGTTTTGATTTTCATATTAAGTTTGATCAAAATAAATAATTTAATTTTAATCATTTGAATTTCAAATCGATCATCATTGGATTGGCAAATATGAATGTTTCTCTACTTTTGTAAAACAATGATTTTCACTTTTTTTTTTATATCTATGAAATGAAAGGAAACAGAACATAGAAAATATTGCAATTGCTACCTGTAGCTGTTGATTGGTATGGTAGCTCTTATGGTCTGCAAATTGTCCAAAAATATCATAAGAGCTATTGCTAACTGAAGAAGTCATACCTGATGTCGCCTATAATTAATGAACAATCTGCAGTTACCACAGATCAAGTATCCATTAGTTTGATAATGAGAAAACAAAATATTTTACAGAAAGAAAAGCAGACAAAACAAGGTTATACAACTTCAGTAAGGTTAAGAAGTCAAGAAGATGGCTAAGGGTGAGTTTTTATTTGGTGTACGTTTGATCAAATTCATTATCACTTACAACATGAACAAGGGACCTTGATATTTTATATTTGCATTCTGAATTAAAAGTTAATGAAACAATTAGAATATTGATATATAACATCATTGATTGCATTTTGACTTTCTACAGATGATAAAAGTCTTTTTCATTTTTTCATTGTAGTCATTTTGTATTTGCAGAGTAAAGTTATCATATATGTCACAATCTCTTTGAAATGTACATCAGGGCTCACACTCTTCAGAGTTGTAAGGGTTATTAAGATCCCTGTTTTTACAGGGAGAAATGTTAAGACATTGTGCTAGTTCACTCACAAGGCTGTAGTATTTGTTTTTCACTTTTGTGCTATTTTACAATCTGTATTTTCACTTTTGTTTATTATAGTTTTGTTGGTCATGAATCTAATATGTATTACTTTATGCCATTATCAGTATAACATATTGTTGTCAATCTTGCTTTCTATTAGTGAACTGTGGCAGTTTTAAAGAACTTAAAAAAAAAGAAAAAGGAATAACTATATTCAATTACAGCAGATCTAAAACTTTATACATGTTTCATCAATGAGATTTGTTAACACTTAGAGGAATTGGATCTTTTTTTACTGGCGACATGAGCTCAATCACTTCAATTCTGCTTACCGAAACTGTACATGTTGGTCAAAACTGTGCAGAAGTGGTAAATATGCATTACCACAAGACAGAAAATTGTCAAAGATGACTAATCAGAATCCTAGGTGACTAGTTTTCACTCTTAGCAGCCATGAGATTGGAAGAGAAGAAAGTGAAAAATTCTTAGTCACCCTAGCTTGCGATATCTCTGAAGGTCATTTTTGCAGAATGATAGGTGATACAAGTATATCCAGCTTTATACACGACTGATAGGCTGAGTCAGCTTTTTAATGTGCTAGCTTTCAGGGTAACAATCACAGGAAGACATATAATAATAATAATAATAATAATAATAATAATAATAATTCTTTATTTAAAGAGGGTTACACAGTTAGCTATAAAACTAATCTTCCCTGAGGCCCTCATGAAATACAATGAAATAAAACAAACAATTACAAAATATCAAACAAACACACATATATGAAAAAATGAAATAAAAAATTGTTATGAAATATACAATTTTCAAAACAGGTAAAAATTACAAATTTATATAGTATTGGCATCATTCAAATTACCTCAACAATATCTTAAGTTTGAGTAAGTGTGTGAAAATTATTATACATATAAAATTACACAGCTTCTTAATGTTCCAACAAGTAATTTTTTAAATCTTTGTTACGGACATTACATTGACCCCACAATGATCTAAAAATTATTCAAAATTGATTTTACAGAACATACTGTTAAGCGATAGTTCATCTGATGAAGATGAGGAGAAGGCAATTACTAATGAAGATTTACAAACCATGCTTAAAATCCACAAATACCAGAGGAAACACCAGATGCTTTTTTACCAAGATAATGAGGTACAAAAAATGTATAGTATAAAATCAGATCGGCAGATCTGCATATCATGTATATATATAATAATATATAATTGGCTAGTACCGTAGAAAGGCTTGTATAGTCCGCGGTTTTATTCTCCAAAATTGGACCTTCCAGACGGGGTGCGGACTATAGAGTACAATAAGCAAGAAATAAGAGAAAAATTTCAATTTCGCGGGCGAGGTGGTTTGTTTACGTTCCGCCATCTTTGTTATTTATATTGTAGAGGGCGCTCTTATCATTTTTCAAACTAATAATTTTAACTCATCCATATTATAAGTTATTTCTATTCAATATCAAATTAATACTGATAAATATAAAAACTAAACCTTTCATTACAAATTTCTCGTTTCTTTTCAATGCATTGGTTGAAATAAACTGGTATCTGCTTGATTGAAACGATACAAACATAGTGAAAAAGACAACCGTAAACCAGCTTAGAATTTGTAAACTACAAAACGTAATCGGTTATTGTTCGTTCCGTTTTGGTGTTTTATACTGACTAATATGGTTTGTATTAGCTTAACTTAAGACCCTTCAAACATTAATGTGATAGATATATTAAAGACTGTTTTACAAAAGGATGGAACTGTTTTACTTTCAAAGTCGTATTATAGTGATATCTGTTATGTACGGATTTCGACTCTCACCGGTTAGTTTCTTCTTTTACACGTGCTTTTTAAACTTCCTGTTTAAACATACACAAGTTTCTAAATTGTTTTTTAAGTGAATTAAACTTATTTTAACAATCATGAAGCGTTCTAGAATCATTTACAAGCAGTTTCAGCTTCTGTTTGATGATGGAAAACAGGTTTTCCCAAGAAAATACCGCAAACGACCGCACAGGATTTGAAATTAACGGAGTTTCATTAGACCTTTTCTAACAGTTAAGTTTTTCTACCTAAAATTTCGTGGGGAGAAGGGGGTGCGAACTATGTACCAGTGCGAACTACACAAGCCTTTCTACGGTAAGCATATCTTATATTTAAAACATTTTATATAGTTAAGCTCCAGGAAGTGAGTACTAGTTGAAATTGTGAGCAACAAGTAAATTATTATTAAAAAAAAGGAGCATATCTGGTAATTTATAATACTATAATTAGGGCCCCTATAGTGATCAGTCTGTCCGTCCGTCCTTCTGTCTCTCCGTCCGTCTGTCTGTCCGTCCGTAACAAATTGTGTCTGCTCTATATCTAGAGAACCGTTATGATTTCATACTTTATACTTGACATGTATATTAACCAACACCAGAGGGTGTGTCATAATATATGTACAACTTCCTAGGTCAAAGGTCAAGGTCAAAAACTTTGGTTTCAGATGACAATCCCATGTCCTATGGTAAAGAAACAAATTTTTTACCACACGTTATTCACAACGGGGCCCACAGAGATGGCTCCCATCTCAATGATGTCTATTTCTTTTTAGGTACAAATGTATATATATAGATGTAAAAGGCTTCAATATGTAGTCCCCTTTGAACAATTATTGTTAAACTTCAATCATATTTCAATAACCCTAAAAAATAAGTAGGTCCTGAGGTTTTGGCTTCTACCTAGTAAAAGTACCATTAGCATGAAAACCATTTTTGTCTTGCAGTATCAACCAATATTGAAATGCTGGCTATCTGTTTAATTAAGAAAATTACCATGAGCATCAAGGGCATTTTTTTGTGTTGCAATATCAATTCCTGTATTGGTGAACAGGTCTTCAGTCTAAATACTGATAGCAACATGGACATTATGAAATCTTTTTTTCTACGATTTACAGCACCATCAACACCAGTATTACAGTACAGGTCTCCTATCTAACTATGACAAGTACCATGATCATCAAAAACATTTCCTGGGACCAAAGAAAAAGATTGCTAAAGAACAAAGAAAGCAGGAGAAAAAATTGAAAGGTAATGAGTTACAACATGTACAAGCACAGTAAATAAACTCATAATGACTTTTTTACTTTGTTTGATAAATTAAATATTGTTGAATTAAAGTTGAACAATTTATGGTCTGATTCTTATGGTAAAAGATTGCCTGCCTGATTTCATACACTTTTTATGCCCCAGCCGTAGCGGAGGGGGCATTAAGTTTTACCCTTGTCCGTCTGTACGTAGGTACGTCCCAAAGTTGGTTTCCATTCTCTAACTTTAGTTTGCTTCAACCAAATGTTTTGAAACTTATACACAATGCTTATTACCACAATATACAGATCAAGTTTGAATTTTGGTGGTGTCACTTAAACTGTTCTAGAGTTATGCCCCTTTACAAATGGAAAAATTGCTGAATTTTTCGTTTCCGTTCTCTAACTTAAGTTAGCCACAACTAAATGTTATGAATCTTATACACAATGCTTATTACCATAAAACACAGATCAAGTTTGAATTTTGGTGGCGTCACATTTACCGTTCTAGAGTTATGCCCCTTTACAAATAGAAAAATTGCTGAATTTTTCGTTTCCTTTCTCTAACTTTAGTTTGCCTCAACAAAATATTATGAATCTTATACACAATGCTTATTACCACAAAACACAGATCAAATTTGAATTTTGGTGGCGTCATGTTTACTGTTCTAGAGTTATGCCCCTTTACAAATAGAAAAATTGCTGAATTTTTCGTTTCCATCCTCTAACTTTAGTTTGCCTCAACAAAATGTTATGAATCTTATACACAATGCTTATTACCACAAAACACAGATCAAGTTTGAATTTTGGTGGTGTCACTTTTACCGTTCTAGAGTTATGCCCCTTTACAATTGGAAAAATTGCTGAATTTTTCATTTCTGTTCTCCAACTTAAGTTTGCCTCAACCAAATGTTATGAAACTTATACACAAATGCTTATTACCACTAAAGTCAGATCAAGTACAAATTAGAGTAGCTTCACTTCTATGGTTCTTGAGTTATGTCCCTTTATAACGTTATTTGCAAGTGGGAGCATCATCTGTGTCCCATTGACACATTCCCCATTTATATGGCTAGAAAAACACTTGTAACTTACTTCTCAATTTATTTACATTGCTTTGAAACAAAATTGTTGTCTTTGTAGATTTTCGTGTGTGGTCTAACACACTGTTTTAATTTTTTTCTTTTTTAGTCAAACTTAAAAAACTGAAGAAAGAAAGACTGTCACCAGATTCAAGTCAAGAAGATGTAAATATCATAGAAATAGATTAGAATATAATAACATATACATGAGATGTTTTGAGATGACATTGTACACTTTACAGGGTACAAGCAAGTCATAGAGTATCTTGATTTAATTGCAACATTCTGAAGATTTAACTTTTAAAAAATCCAGAGGCAAACTATAATTTTTTAAATGCTTGTATCTCATATCAAGCACTTGGGCCTGTCTTTATTTTTTTTTAGAATTTTGATGAAATTAACAATGTCTTTTAAAATAGACTTCATTCCTGAAAATGTTGGTATTTTGAACTTTAATAGCAGCACATCCTTAAATAGAGAGTGTTAGTCTTTTAAGTCACTTATCAAGCTATATTACAGAAATACTGAAAAAAAAACCATCCCAACACAATTAAATAACAAGGAAAGAAAAAAAGAGCTACAAAACATCATGACAACATCAGTATCCTAGCTTGGAACAGGGAATGTGATGAAACGTAACTAAATAGCCATTGAATTGTCAGTATTTACATGAACGTTCTGTTTTGTTCCTTCTTTTTAAGAGGCTTTTATGTATATGATTAAAATTGCCATTGCATTGAACTTAATGGAAAGGACCGTTAGAATTTTGATAATTGACAAGGGAAATATTTAAATTCTCAAAATTTTACTGGTTCAACAGATTTTTAAAGCTTTGCCTTTTTATACCCCCGTTTACGGAACGTATTATGGTATACCATTGACCGTCTGTCCATCCGTCTGTCCGTCATGATCATGTCGGACATTAACTCAAAAAAGCTTTAACCAATATGCATGAAACTTTGGTGAATTGTTTATATCTATTGACATGAGCTCCCTTTTGGATTTTTATAAATTTTAGATTTAACGTTTCCGAGTTACAGGGTTTTATTCATAAAATAAGGGGGATTTTCCAGTTTTTGGACAATAACTAAAAAATGCTTTCAGCAGTTCTCATGAAACTTTGGTGAATTGTTTATATCTGTTAATGTAAGCTCTATTTAGAATTTTATAAATTTTAGATTTTACATTTCTGAGTTATGGGGTTTTATTCATTAAAAAGAGGGGATTTTCCAGTTTTTGGACAATAACTCAAAAATGCTTTCAGCAGTTCTCATGAAACTTTGGTGAATTATTTATAGCTATTGATGTAATCTCCCTATTGATTTTCATAAATTTCAAATATGACATTGAGAAGAAATTGGACTTTATTTGTTTATAGTCTGACAACAGATTTACTAAGTATTGCGCAACAGCACAGTGTATTGCGCAACAGCAAGAAATCTTTAATTGAATATAAATTCAATTCATATAACCAATTTCAAGTTCTTTGACTTCATTTATTCAGAAACCTATAATATGTCAAATGTTTAATTACAATCCAAATTCAGACCTGTATTGTGTCCATTTTTGCCCCAACTGTTCAGGGTTGGACCTCTGCGGGCGTATCCAGCTGCGCTCAGCGAAGCAGTTTATTTTTGAATGTTACAAGCATAAATTTTATTTGTTTACAGGAAATAGATCCATCTATATTAGAAGCAATATTAGCTCATCGTAGAAATGAAGCCAGAGGAGATAAAAAGCTGTCACCAGAACAGGCTGATATTAAAAGAAAGAAATTATGGATTACCATTGCTAAAAAAGAAATACCAAAGGTACAAATTGTAGTTGATGTAATAAATTAAGTCTCTAAGGTTTTATTTAATGTCTTACTTTCTTGTTATTTTTGTTGTTTTGTTCAAACTTTTATGTAAAGATATAAAAATAACATTGATATCTATTCAAGTAATTTTATTTTGCGACATCAGTATCTATTAATTTTGGCAAATGAGTCTATCATTTCTATTATAGGCACAAAAACAAAAGGTAGCCGCAAGGAAAGAAGTGTTACAGACATTGAAGAAGGTAAATTTATATATAAACCTGGCCAAATGTTCATAGCACATGTTGATTTACTTTAAGCTCTACTCAAGTAATTACCATTCAAATACAGGTGATGGGGGTGTTTTGGGTTTTGTGTTTCAAATGATTATTGAAGTAGAGGTCTGAAAACTGCAATTGGTCCTTTAATCCACAATAAATGTATTTCTGGAATAGCCCTTTAGATAAATACATTGTATTTTTTATGCCCCGCGGGGGCATTAAGTTTTACCCTTATACGTACATACGTCCAAAAGTTGATTTCCGTTCTCTAACTTTAGTTTGTCTCAACCAAATGTTATGTTCTAGAGTTATGCTCTTTTACAAATGGAAAAATTGCTGAATTTTTCGGTACTTTTCTCTAAAGTTTGCCCCAACCAAATAATATGAAACCTATACAAAATACTAATTACCACAAAACTCAGATCAAGTACAAATTTGGGTAGCGTCACTTTTACCCCTCTTCAGTTATGTCCCTTTATAACTTTATATGATGTGCAAGCGGGGGCATCATCTGTGTCCCATGGACACATTCCCCATTTATTTTAAATTTTGATTAATACGTATTTACCTTACTTAATTCATCTCAATTGTATTGCTCCATCAGGTGAATGTACTGTTACATAGCTAGATTACTATCATTACTGTGGATTCTTATGATTCTTGGGATACTAATTTTCATGGATTTTGTGTTAACAGGTAAACCATGAATTTAAATGTTCCACGAAGTACATATTTCCTAAAGAATTGTATACAGACTTTGGCAAACCCATGAAATTTAATATTCATGAAAAGACAAGTTTCCTTCAATCCACGAAAATTGGTATCCACGAAAAACAAATGAATCCACAGTATATTGATGATGCTATTGTAGGATCATTTATAATCTTGATAAATCTTGGATAATTCATTTGTATTTACATTTATAGGTATCACAGCAGTGTATGAGAGAAGTGAGGAAGGCTGCCATTCAATCACAGAAAACAATGAAGGAACAGCAGTCAAGGGCTAGGAGAATGACTAGAGAAATGGTCACTTATTGGAAAAGATTTGAAAAAGTTGAGAAAGAACACAGAAAGAGGGCAGAGAAAGAAGCATTAGAACAAAGAAAGATGGATCTAGAATTGCGGGAGGTACAGTTTTATATTTTTTAAAAAGTTTAGCTACAGGTTTGTGACACATTTTAAACACAGAAATCTAGTGTACATATATTGTACATAAGGGTCCTGAAATGGTCATATTTGCCAGTGATGACAGATTTTAAATACATATGACTTTAATGAAATTCCTAATTAATGTCAAAATGACTTTGAAAATAAACCAAGGTAAGACAACTTTGAACTTTCTTTGTGGGAAATTGCATGTTTTTATGCCCCACTGTAGCTGAGGGGGCATTAAGTTTTACCTTTGTCCGCCCATATGTCCCACAAATTGGTTTCCGTTCTCTAACTTTAGTTTGCCTCAACCAAGTGTTATGAAACTTATCCACAATGCTTATTACAACAAAACACAGATCAAGTTTGCATTTTGGTGGCGTCACTTTTACTGTTCTAGAGTTATGCCCCTTTACAAATGGAAAAATTGCTGAATTTTTTGTTTCCGTTCTCTAACTTAAGTTTGCTTCGACCAAATGTTATGAAACTTATACATAATGCTTATTACCACAAAATTCAGATCAAGTATGAATTTGGGTAGCGTCACTTTTACCGTTCTTGAGTTATGTCCTTTTATTACGTTATACGCAAGCGGGGGCATCATCTGTGTCCCATTGACACATTTTCCATTTATTTTTTTATCATTATCTAAATCATGATTGCAATGCTTTTCTGATAATTAAACTGCCACTTGGTATTTTATGGCAATCCACAGGGCCACCAAAGTTACTGTTTGCCCCCATGGATATTAGATTGATTCAGGAGAATATAAGGTCATACAATTTTTTTTCAATAACTTTTCAGCAGAGGCTGTCGATAAGTAGATTTTGAATCAACTTCACTTCAAGAAAAAAGTATTAAGTCAAACCTATGCTTTTATTTACTACGTAATACGCATATATGCAAGTATTCCTTTGTTATTAACAAGTACTGGTACAAGATAAGTTGCTTTATTCTGATATACATTTCTGTTTTATATTTCTTTTCTTAAAATCGAGAAGCATGTATTCTTTCTTACTGTTACTAGTTTTCTATTTACTTACCGGTGCATCAAATTTCAGAAAATGCAAGTGTTAAACTACTCCCAGAATAACTTTCAACAGAAACCAAAGTTTTATTTTGAGATTTTCAAAATCCTTATCCTGCCTTAAAACAATTGAATAGGAAAAGACAATAAATTGTGAATTTTCCCTTCAACCAGAAAGGTGAGCAATGGGGAGGAAAACAATTTGAAAAGTATGGAAATAGTTACACATCTTATTTCAAAGTCAAAAGTCTTTAGACCCAGGTTATTTGAAAACTAAGAATAGCATTTTGTGTGGACAGTTGCAGAATTTTCCAATGCAGAGAAATGTTTTTGCATAATATTAAATTTTTGTAATAATTCTTATTTCAGGCCAGGAGACAACAGAGAAAGTTAAACTTTTTAATTACCCAGACAGAACTGTATGCTCACTTTATGGCTAAGAAAATGACAGGTGAATCAGAGGAGAGACAGAATGAAATATTACATCAGCTGGATGAAACCAAACCAGCAGGACAAGTCACAGTCAGTGGTGGTGTCCTTACCGATTCTGCATGTGATGATTATGGTAATAGTTTAGGATAAATATGACAGAAAAAATTGAGATATAATTCCATAAGACCAAGAACATAATTGACAAATCAGCAGTTGATACTTAAAATATTATACCAAGCTTAGGATAATATAAGGGATGTCTGTATTATATATTGATAGTTGCAATATTTTTGTCTCAAATTTAACTAGCTGCAGGACAGTAGCTCTTATGGTCCTTGTAATATTTTTTGACAATTTGCGGACCATAGAGCTATGATCTGAATTTCGATCTTATTTCCCAAAATTTCATTGTTTATCGCCCATGCATAGCTTGTCAATGTATGTTATTAGTTTCGTTAAATATTTTTCTATAATATGATGTACCCATTTTTGTTTATTCAAATTGACTTATTTTGTATATGTCTACGCCTATTTCGTTCAGCCATTTTGAATCTCATTGTGATGTCAGTAAAAACAAGAACAGATAACTCTAATAGCCTCAATCTCCTATGTTTGAGGTAAAGAAGGCATACAAAATTGGAAAACACATGTTGGTTTTGTTAACGTTTCATTATGTGAGATTTGTGTGTTTTTGAGATTTTGGAACTTTAATTAACACAAAATTTCTACAATGCTGGGAAGAATTACTATTTCCATTTGTATTAATGATTAGTCAAAAATGTTCTTTCATTCAAATAGTCATGAAAATAGAATAAAAGAAAACTTAACAAACCAACTCATGTTTTCCTATAAGAGATGAACCTGAACTTGTTTTATATGACGTCACGACGAGATTAAAAAAGGCTGAACGAAAAAGGGGGAGATGTATATAAAAGGAAACAATTATAATAGTGTCGCGGAAATGAATATTCAAACATAAATAGGTATGTCATATCAGACAAAAATATCAAACGAAAGAACTATATACATTGACAAGCCATGCAAGGGCGCTTAACAATAAATTTTTTGGAAATAAGTGCGTCCTGAACCTGGGTGGCAATTCAGAACGTTTAAACATAAGAATAATATGGTCTGAAAATTGTCAAAAAATATCACAACGAGCATAAATACTACAGTTCCCCAGCTAATATTTAACTCGATATTTAATGCTGTGAAATCAAGATTGACGTTGGCAAGAATTAAAGTGCAACATAGTTATTATTAATACAATGCAAACCCTGAATTTTGGTTGATATATTAACTTTTTTAAAAGTTAAGAATTTCACTATGTATACAATGTTCATGTATGACATGCAGTCCATTCTTGTTGGACGATACTTAGAAGTTTTAATATGCCCTCTGAACGATTTGATATTTGGGCTGGAACTTTATAGTGTCAAAATGTCCTGAATAAGCCTGTCGAATAGTCATTTCCTATTTAAACATACTTTAAAAATTATACTCAACGAGCATAGAATTTTTCGTTAATGTCTATCAACCAGTGCTGTATACTTTGCAAGACATTGTGTACAACTTCTTGTTCCTTTCTTTTTTACAGATAGTGATCGTATGAAAGATGTAGCTTTAAGAAATGCTGAGGATGCTTATACAAAACATCAAGCAAAGGTAAATATAGTCATTTTTAACACATCAGTAAGGACATAATTTAATCTTATTAATCATGTTACAAAAACACTGTATTCTCAGTATGTTATGATAGTTTGAATAACTTCTAATAAGTTTTTACTTCTAATTCAAAGTTGAAACCCCTCATTTGGGTCTAATTTATGTAAGTTTGGAGTTGGAACTATGAAAATAAAATTTGAAACATATAAATTGTCATGAATTATATTTGTAATAAAAAATTATTATGTTTGAATAGTATCTCATATGGCATTGCTTGTGGCTTAACAATACTGTATTAAAATTTTAGGTGTATAAATTTTTTAAACTTTCTATTTTTTCAGAATTCCATGTTTAGGCCAGAATCAGTAACTGCTAGCAGTAAGTAACAATTGAAGTATCTTGATTTTGATTTCTTTTAAATATTCTGAAAATGACAGGTAGTTGGACTTAGTCATTTTTTTTTTGTACTAGCTGCATAAAGAGGTCATGGTTTGTCCGGCTATCTTCTCCTACAGTTTTGGAGATAAAGCTTTAATATTTTTTAGGATGTTCATACACATAATGGAGGTGTGCATGGCCACAGGATTTTGATTTCTTTTAAATATTCTGAAAAGATTTCATAATGTGGCTATTTTGGCATTTCTTAGTTTTCCATTAGAATGAAGAAACTTGAAGCACTAAAGTAAATACGCAAGAATAAACTTAAAAATATAGATACTGATATCTGATAGACCATATCTTGTTAACATTAGAATGATAGTATTTGAAAGATTTATGATTATTTTTGATTTTGGAATTACAGTCCAAAGAAAGTGGCCTTATTAGTATGATGCCTTCTAATAAACTTCCTTGTAGATGCTGTATGTCTTGATAATATTTTCAGTGGAGTCCTCCTTTGCAAACCCTTCTATCAGTACTGATGCAGACCGTCCACAACCAAGTATATTTGAAGGCACTTTGAAGCCTTATCAATTAAAGGTAATGAGAAAAGTGTTTAATAAAACATCATTTACTGTTGCAACAATGTGTCTTCTTGTTTGTCAGTACCTTATTGTCACATTGGTAGTGCTTGCAATTTTAATTCTTTTCAAATTTGAATTGAGATTTATTTTCATCAAAACCTTGAATGAAAATATTTTTTTATGACAGAAAAACAGAGAAATCTTTTTTAAGGGAGGGGAATTGTACAATTATGACATCACCTAGGAATTTAATTTGTGTTAGATTTCCTTCAAATTGGAGCAAAATTTTAATCAAATCAAAAAGTTGGATGAGTTTGTTGATCAGAAAAATTTGAAATGGTGACAATATTTTATTTTAGGGGGACACTAATTTGACTAAAAGAATAAATACAAAAATTGCAAGGGCAAATTTTTACTATTCCTTGAGATTAATGACCCAATGCCATTTATTGTATGTTGATATCTATTAAGTCTGTCACAGAAATGAATGTTTGTGAGTGTTTGAACACCAAACTAGCATAGATTTAATAAGTTATGAAATGTATTTTGAGGTAGAATAAAAGGTCTTCAAATTATACCCAGTAGTTTATTTCCTCTAATATTTAGTCATTATTTGGATAACCTCTCAGTCTTTGCTCCGAAGTTTGCACAAGTCTTTATAAAAAACCTTTTTATGCTTGCTTGTTATTTTTGTTATGATAGTTGCTTTATATTTCCAGGGTATGAATTGGCTTGCAAACCTGTATGACCAAGGTATCAATGGAATCCTTGCAGATGAGATGGGTCTGGGTAAAACTGTACAGAGTATAGCATTACTTGGTCATCTTGCTGAGGTTAGTAGTATGAAGCATGTAAAATTATTCAGTTCATTTTAAGATTTAGCTTTGTTACAACATAATGAGTGTCTCTGGTGTCAGTGTTCAATGCTGAATACATTAGCCCTCTTTCAGACTGGGTATCTCTTGCCATTAGAATTTCATTAAAAGAAACATGATACAGGGTCCATTTGTCATTACTACCACAGCAGGCCAAACAGAAATTTACAATAATACAATGATTCAAGATGGATGAAACTTCTTTAACAAGGACATAAAGAAAAAGATATAACAGAAATGTTGATAAATATATTGAAATGCTTAACATTATCACAACATCAATTATGAAGTAATTATAAACAGAAAAAGATAGATATTACAATTTCCCAATGAGTTCACAAGGGATTAAAATGAAAAGTTTTTAATATGCCAGTGACAGAAAGAAATTGTGGACTTACAATCATACCACATCTTCTTATATCTATTTACAGACTACAAAAGAAACAAATAGAATTTGGGATTATCCCAATAACACTTAAGGGAAACTCAATACCTATATAAAGTATATTACTTTATACATGTATTTGTTTAATGTTAAATGTAGTGGACTACATTAATATATATATGTATTTTATACTTAAACAACATTCACAGTTAGTGTGTAATAACCTCATTTGACATTTTCTTTTGGATTTGTTCAATATTAAGATTTCTGTCTTCTGTTGCTGTCATTCTTTACAACCAAACAAAAAAGCACTATTTAAGTTACCTTTTCCTGTCCAACATTATTAGTCCCCTACCAACGAAGTCGAAGGGGACTTTAGGTTTGCACTCCGTCCGTCTGTCTGTCCTTCTGTCAGTCTGGCAAATCAGCTTTCCACACTTTTTTTCTTCGTTCTTGAAGATATTGATTTGATATTTGGTATATAGTTTTATCATGACAAGTTATAGATCAAGTTCAAATTTTGTTCTGGTCTGATGATTTAATCCAGAGTTATGGACCATAACTCTGGACCATATCTAATGTTAGTGTACTATGTTAAACCATATTTCTGTACAAAGGGAGATAACTAATTTTTTAAAAGACATTCTTTGTTCAATTATTTGAAGAATTTTTTGGCAGGTTTGTTAGTTATTTAGTATAAACTTATTTTCTGAATGCTATATATATATAAAAAAAAATTATGAAGAGAAATCCTTTAATTAGATAATAATCTATTTTTATTATGTATATATTTCAATACATTGTATTGTGTAGATAAAAGTTGTTGACATTTTATAGATAAGTTACAAATCTATATTAGTTTGTGACAAATGAAAGAAAAAATATTTGGAACTATTAATTGTATTTGATTATAATTTGAAAATAGATATACGCTGTATTACATCATATCTAATTTTAGAGAACTAATAATCATATCTTATGTTTTTTTCATCATGCTTATACGATATTGATTGATAATTGGTATATAGTTTTATCATGACAAGTTACAGATCAAGTTCAAATTTTCGTTTCGGTCTAATAATTTTGTGCAGAGTTATGGTACTTGGACTTGAAAAATTCACTCATATAATCAGTTTTCCACACTGTTTTTATTTCTATTTGCTTGAAGATATTGACATGATATTTACTTTTTGTTTACACCATGGCAAGTTTTATAACAAGTTAGCATTTTGTTCCAGTATAATGAATTTTTACCCGGTAAGGGACTATGTATTGCCATGCAATACTCTCAGAATGCTTGTTAACTTTAAAATTGTTTCACTATTTCAGAATCAAGGCATCTGGGGGCCATTTCTTGTGATTGCACCAGCTTCTACATTGCATAACTGGCAACAGGAAGTGTCCAGATTCTTTCCTAGATTTAAGGTATGTTCTTTCAACTAAAAACTGCAAATAAGTTGTTTTTATGCAACATGAGTACTTGCATTTTAACAAAGTTAAGATATTCTCTAATGGATGCTTAATAATGATATAGTATGGCTAACATAATTATATTGAGTTTATTATTCATTGAACCTACAAGATATATTTCACAACAAAAAGCTATTTTTCTACTTATTCGTTATGGACAGTGTCTGAAACTAAATTAAAAAACTTTAAAGCCATTATCAGAAACCATATAAAATGAGATGCTTAAATTGTAGTACTTTCACATATTATAAAGTTGAATTTGGAAAAATAAAATATTATACCTTTGATGATTTATTGATGTTTCCAGGTTGTACCGTATTGGGGAAACTCTCAAGACAGAAGAGTTTTACGTAAATTTTGGGATTCACAGAATTTGCATCAAGAAGAAGCATCATTCCATGTTGTGATAACAAGTTACCAGCTCGTCATCCAAGACGTGAAATATTTTCAGAGAATAAAGTGGCAGTACATGATACTTGATGAAGCTCAGGCTATTAAAAGTAGTAGCAGGTTAGTGGTTTGACATAATTTACTTGACGAAGCTCAGGCTATTAAAAGTAGTAGCAGGTTAGTGGTTTGACATAATTTACTTGACGAAGCTCAGGCTATTAAAAGTAGTAGCAGGTTAGTGGTTTGACATAATTTACTTGACGAAGCTCAGGCTATTAAAATTAGTAGCAGGTTAGTGGTTTGACATAATTTACTTGACCAGGCTCAGGCTTTAAAAAGTAGTAGCAGGTTAATGGTTTGACATAATTTACTTGACGAAGCTCAGGCTATTAACAGTAGTAGCAGGTTAGTGGTTTGACATAATTTACTTGACGAAGCTCAGGCTATTAAAAGTAGTAGCAGGTTAGTGGTTTGACATAATTTACTTGACAAAGCTCAGGCTATTAAAAGTAGTAGCAGGTTAGTGGTTTGACATAATTTACTTGACCAGGCTCAGGCTTTTAAAAGTAGTAGCAGGTTAGTGGTTTGACATAATTTACTTGACCAGGCTCAGGCTATTAAAAGTAGTAGCAGGTTAGTGGTTTGACATAATTTACTTGACCAGGCTCAGGCTATTAAAAGTAGTAGCAGGTTAGTGGTCTGACATAATTTACTTGACGAAGCTCAGGCTATTAAAAGTAGTAGCAGGTTAGTGGTTTGACATAATTTACTTGACGAAGCTCAGGCTATTAAAAGTAGTAGCAGGTTAGTGGTTTGACATAATTTACTTGACGAAGCTCAGGCTATTAAAAGTAGTAGCAGGTTAGTGGTTTGACATAATTTACTTGACGAAGCTCAGGCTATTAAAAGTAGTAGCAGGTTAGTGGTTTGACATAATTTACTCTCTGTATATCATTCCTCTGTTTTGCCTTTAATTTTTTCAGAAACCCCTTCATCGAAATTACCATTTCTATGAAAAAATTATAACTAAGCCTAAGTCCCCTTAATAAATATTCCAAAAGTATGTATTCATTTTTTACAAGTTCAGCAGAAATAAATTAAGTAAATGAAATAGGGAAATTTTCAAAATGTTGTTTGCTTCAATGCTCATGTTGTGTTACCAGCTTGTTTCAAAAGTATAAGATATACCCTGTCAATAATGAAAAACAAGATAAGAGAGAAGAAGCTTACTTCTGGAGATAGACCTATAGGAGACAGATTTGCAAAAGCAACTTTACTTGTTTCTGGATCTTAGATATTTATTTCAAGTTATTAAATTGTTATGTGATGATTTATCTGAATAAATATTGTTTTAACTAACTATATCTGTTTTTTTTTTCTTTTCAGTGTACGATGGAAAATTTTACTTGGTTTTAACTGCAGAAACAGACTTCTTTTGACTGGAACTCCTATTCAAAACAGTATGGCAGAGGTAAGGATATGAAAAACTATTTGACTGCATAAGGTTGAAACTTAACAAAACTATAAACATCTCAGCAGTTATCACTATTCAACATTATCATTGTTATGCTTATAATACAGGTATAAATCACACATAACACAATCTTAACTATGGTATTGTAAAAATGAATAAACTGCAGTTAGCATTTCCATTTAAAACTAAAAACAAGGGAGATGTTATACTAAATCTGTGGTAGTTTGTCTGTATACGTTAGCTAGTTTAAGCATTTCACAGTATTCCTGAAAATGGCAAACACTGTCTGATATATATAGTTTAAAAGAATAAAAGCTTAATTGAAATATTATTATTTGACAACAGGGAAACTTTGAGAAAATGTAGATGGATTGATTGATGATTGTTACTGAATTATTTGTTTGCTTGTTGATGTTAAACACCACTTTCAGCAACCATGGCCATATCATGGCAGCCATTATTGTCCCCAGAGACTTTTATATTTTAACTGCCATTATTCATCAGAATTTATCTTTATATTGTAGTTGTGGGCATTGTTACATTTCATCATGCCAACAATGTTTGATTCACATGAAGAATTTAATGAATGGTTTTCTAAAGATATAGAAAGTCATGCAGAAAAACAATCTGGGATAGACGAAAGTAAGTTTTTGTTTTATTGTAGAGTAATAAAGTAGTCCCGTTTCACAAAGGTGACCCTTTCTAGAAAGGTAAGGCGGCCTTAAAATATTGTTAGTTAGTGTAGGGTTGAATTAAAAAAACTACTGCTGTTTTATAAAAGGAATCTTGAAGGTTGACCTATCTTGATTATTGTAATCCAATCATTTCAGGTGATCTTTTTTACAAGTATTGTTCAGTGGATGTATTTTTTTTGTAAGATAGTACAAATTGCAATTGAATCCATATAGCCAATGGCTGGTTAGCTATATTTTAAACTATTCTCTACTTTTGTTTTAAGAGTACACAGATCGTAGTGTAGCAAGGGTACATTCTTGTGATCTGAACTTGTCCATGGCAAGCAAGCAATTAATGATATATGATCAGATATATAATTTATAGAATGAGGTGTATGAATGTATATTACAATACATTTCAAGAAAACCATTTTATTAAAAATTACACATGTTGCAGAAAGTAGTCCATTATCTATGAATGTATCTGTTCTTCCTTCAATTTTATGGACAAAGGGAAATGACTCAGTTGGATACACTGCCTAAATTTTGAATTTTAAGTTCACAATGCAGATTGAAAGTAATCTTTACCCCTTCAGTGCTCACAAACACTTTGAGCATGTTGAGTGAACTTATGAATGAAGTGTACATCTTTATTTTTCAGACCAGTTATCAAGATTAAGGATGATTCTACAACCATTTATGTTGAGGAGAGTAAAGAAAGATGTTGAAAATGAACTTTCAGACAAGGTTTAAGATTATTTCTATTATAGTTTCCTTAGTGGAGTGTCAAGTAATAAACCTAAATTACTTTTATGCCAACGCATATAAACATTTATACTTCCCACTATGTCTACCATATTTGTTATTATATCCCGCTCCCAAGGAGATTGTTTATTTATGTATGTCCATGTGTCTGTCTCTCCGTAACACTTTTTTGTCACATTTTTCTCAGCAACTATAAGACAAAACTGCCTGATATATTGAACCAAGCTTCATCTGGTTATGCTATACCATGTGACACATTTTCAGTTCCTTCTTATTTTACTTCTTGTTTGCAGAAAACTTGCATCTTTAAAATATCATGCACATTTATGAAATTTTACTCACATTTTTCTCTGACAGCAACTACAAGGCATAAGTTCTTGATATATTTCACCAATCTTCATCTGAGTATGAAAAATAGTTCAACACTTAAGACAAATAAATTGTTAAAATGTGAAATACTGGTGCAGTAAAATGGTGCCGTTAATGTTATTTCAGTTCCTTCAATATTCTTCTTCCTGTTTGCTTAAGACTTTTATCATTAAAATATCATGCACATGCATGAAATTTTCTTATTTACTGCAAACAAGAGTTAACAACATTGAGTTGGGGGGTATGAGTAAATCTTGTTTATACTTAAGATTGTCAGCAAGTTTAATAAGTTCCATCATAACACCTCAGGCAAGATTCGAAAAAAAGCTTGATGAATACATTATAGGAAAAGAGGTTTGGAAAACACATTATAAAGTGAGATTCCTTCTGTAAAGTTTACAGAAAGAATAGGTTTGTTGGTGAATTGTTCTGACAATTTGTTCATGACTTGAAAATATATTTCTTCTGGTTTTTTTTTTTAATACAGATTGAGATTCTGGTATATTGTCCACTGACCACCAGACAGAAGATGCTATACCAGGGAATAAAGAACAAAATTTCCATAGAAGATCTCCTCAGTAGTTCATCCTCTTCTTCATCTGCTCAAAACTCTGCTAGCAGTCTCATGAATATTGTTATGCAGTTCAGAAAGGTATGAAACTCAGTTGGACTAAAAAATTCTTAGTTATATGGTTTTATGCAAGTCAGAATATGAAGGTCGTAACACCGTCTTCTAAGTGTTGTTTTAAAATGCTGTCGTAATAATCTTAATTTACCTCAAAGAGAGATTTAAGTTTGTCTAATATCAAAGAGTCACATAAAACAATTAAATTAAAAAAAAAGTTTTAAACAAAAAGCTAATACTTAAAATATATTTCTGAATGTGGAAAATCAGCACTGTCCAATGAAGAATATAAACCTAAGACATTTTTATAATAGAAAAATAATCAAGCCTTAAAACAACATCACTCTTATTAATTATTTTTTTTCCCAATAGGAATTTAAGTGTCCATTCTGAATAGACAGTAAGTACCATACCATGATGTATATATATATTACAATGGAAACAGCCCAAATGATGTATATTGACATCAAATAAAAACTATAGATATTTGAGAAATATAATGAAACTTGAATGTAATTACAGGTTTGCAATCATTCAGAGTTGTTTGAGAGAAGAGAAGTAAAGTCACCATTTTTTATGAAGAGAGAACCATTTACAATACCAAAACTAGTGTACAGAAATTGTAAGTCATACCTCTACTGAATCCTTTATTATTTTACCATTTTTATTTCAATAGTAGTAACCCAAAAATAGAGAATGACTGTAGTCTTCACCTCATATTGTGCATTTCATACTGTTCATATAAAAAACAGAAGAAAAAGATATCAATTTGGTTGTTGCATGATTGGCCATTTTTTATTCTCCCAATTAAGGATTGAGACTATATTGCATGCACCTTCTCAGGGTGTTCCTATTTTGGTATATCTAAAAAATATTTTATCACGCTTTTCTCAGGAAATACTAAACATTATGACTCCACACCTTTTTTGTTGGCATCTTTGTTAGATTAATTTGTATGTTTGTTTGAGTTTTTGTCTCGCCTTGACGGAGTCAAAAAGCGAGACATAGGTATGCTATTTCCGGCAGCGGTGGCGTCAACAATGTATTAGTTTGTGATTAGGTCTAGTTTGTGGTGAACCACTAGTGGTAGGTCAATGATATTTTGTATGCATTTGTATTAGCATTGGCACATATCATTTCCATGATTATTATTTGGCCTTGCCCCCTCAGTCATGGTCTTTTGACTTTAAAACTTTTGCTTAGTTTACATGTACTAGTTTGTGATTAGTTCAGTTTATGGGGAACCACTAGTGGTAGATCAATGATATTTGGTATGCAGTTGTATAAGCATTGACATATCTCATTTCCATGGAGATTATTTGGCTTCGCCCCCTCAGTTATGGTCTATTGACTTTGAAACTTTTGCTTAGTTTACATGTATAAGTTTGTGATTACGTCAGTTCAAGGGGAACCATTAGTGGTAGGCCAGTGTTAATTGGTATGCAGTTGTATAAGTATTAGCACATCTCATTTCCATGGAGAATATTTGGCCCCGCCCCCTCAGTCATGGTTTATTGACTTTGAAACTTTTGCGTAGTTTACATATATTAGTTTGTGATTAGATCAGTTTAAGATGAACCACTTATGTTAAGTCAATGATATTTGGTATGCAAATTTATTGGCAATTGCAAGTCTCATTTCTATGGAGATTATATAGCCCCACCCCCTCATCATGGTTCATTGACTTTGAAACTTTTACATAGTTTACAAGTTAATGTTTGTGTTTAGATTTGTTTAAAGGGAACAACTTATGGTAAGTCAATGGTATTTGGTATGCATTTGTATTAGCATTGACACATCTCATTTCCATGCAGATTGTTTAGCCATGTACCTTCAGTCATGGTTCATTGACTTTGAATATTTGCATAACTTACTTGTATTGTTGTTTTAATTTCAACATTTGCATTATCAAAATTACAAATAGGCAAACATATCTCTGTGTCAACAGTTTATTTAATCGGATGTGTTGTATGTCTGTGATGTATGTTTACACAGTTTTGGCGTCTGGATTCCAATAATGTCCCGAAATTTGTTTCCGTTCTCTAACTTTAGTGTGCCTCAACCAAATGTTATGAAACTTATACACAATTCTTATTACCACAAAACACAGATCAAGTTTGTAATTTGGTGGCATCTCTTTTACCGTTCAAGAGTTGTGCCCCTTCACAAATGGAAAAATTGCTGAATTTTTCGTTTCCGTTCTCCATCTTTAGTTTGCCTAAAGCAAACATTATGAATCTTATACACAACACTTATTACCACAAAACACAGATCAAGTTTGAATTTTGGTGGTGTCACTTTTACTGTTCTAGAGTTATGCCGCTTTACAAATGGAAAAAATGCTGAATTTTTCATTTGTTCTGTAACTTAAGTTTACCTAAACCAAATGTTATGAAACTTATACACAATGCTTATCACCACAAAACTCAGATCAAGTACAAATTTGGGTCATGTCACTTTTACCGTTCTTGAGTTATGTCCCTATATAATGTTATATGCAAGCTGGGACATCATCTGTGTACCATGGACACATTCCCCATTTATTGTTATTATGGTTGCCTTTTTATGCCCCACCTAGGGGCATTATGTTTTTGGGTCTGTGCATCCGTTTGTTCGTCTGTCCTTCTGTCCCACTTCAGGTTAAAGTTTTTTGTCAAGGTAGTTTTTGATGAAGTTGAAGTCCAATCAACTTGAAACTTAGTACACATGTTCCCTATGATATGATCTTTTTAATTTTAATGCCAAATTAGAGTTTTGACCCCAATTTCATGGTCCACTGAACATAGAAAATCATAGTGCGGGTGGGGCATCCATGTACTATGGACACATTCTTGCTTATTATTTTATTATTATTTTTTTAACCTTCAGTGCAAAGAAAAACTACAGGATAGGATAAGTATTTCTCAGAGGAAGAGGGCTATACCTAAAGATGTAATTAATTCTGCACAATTTCATATTGCTTATGTTTTAATAATGAAATATTAAGTTACAAAGTCTTGTTCTCATTTATCTCATCTATAGATTTGACTTCTGTTTGTTTAACTTTACAGGTGTGCAAGACTTGAATGTGTCCAGTAAACAAAAGATACTGTACAATATGTTTTATGTGTTTTCTCCTGAAAATATCCACCAGTCCATGTGTTCAGAGTGTTCAAGTAAGTCTTTTGGTAAACATTTTGTGTGGCCTGACAACCCCCAACTACAACAACACATAATAATCACTCTTGTTTAATATTCTTATCTAATATATATATATATAGAATAGTGGCATTTTTTGTTTTTAATACTGACTTTATTATCAATGAATGTCAAGCAAGCCTGCTAGGGCGAGCTGATATTTGTTCTGATGAAGTCAGTATCAAAAAATAAAATGCCATTATTCTTTTTATCGGCAATTTGTTTTCACAAAATGTTTTTTGTTTGTTTTAGAATATGAAATAAATGAATTAGTTAGTAAAACTACTTTTTTGCATACTAAACGATGTAATAGTTGTTCGGTTGTATGAATGAAACCTCATGATAAATTGACGTGGATGGACATGAACACTTGACATTGTTGCACTGATACATGATGTCATTGCCTAATATTTTTGAGTATCAAGTCCTGTCAATAATCTTAACAAATATTAGACAGTAAGATCAAAGGAAAAATGTACAAATTGCAGATAAAAGAATTAATTCCATTTTTCAAGTTTACTACCAATAATCAAATATTTCACAATATGTACTATTCATTACCGGATTATTTTATTTTACTGTTTTTTTTATAGAAATATCAATACAAAGTTATTTTATTAAGTTGACTCAATTACAAATTTGATTAAAGAATAAATGGCAAATAAGACAAAATGAAAGCCTAACAGTTGTCTAAATCATGTGTCACAATTAAGTTTCAGTAAAATTTTAATGATGAACAAATAACTGAAATAGGCACAGTGAATGTCTAACAAAAAACATGTATTGTAGTAAAGTCCTTCTTTGCAGCCTCAAAATTATATATTTGTTCTTTTTCAGGTACCGGTGTAAATAGTTTGTTTTCCTTCACAAAATTTATAGACATATCACCTAAAGAACTCCATAATTATATGTTTGGAGGTTTACTTGTCAGGTAAGACTTTTTTGTATGATAAATCTAATAGTACCAAAATTTATTCTTAATAAAAGTGTTTTATTTATACAGTTGAACCTTGTTGTGTCGAAGTCGAAGGGACTGGACCACAGTATTCGACTTAAACGAGGTTCGACTCATCCGAGGTCTAGTGTGTCATAAATTTGGAATGCATGAAATACGGTATGAGATTAGTGTAAACTAGATACTTTGAATAGTGTGCCTTTTTTCGATATGACACTTTATGATTGTGTATTCAATCTCCATATTTTTTTATCCTTCATAACAATTAAACACACAAGTAGAGATACAAATCATGCACAAATAAAATCAATAGTCTACACAAATATTTACAAAGGTCAGTCACTATAAATTATGAAATCACTCTCGGAACGAACAAGTTCTGAATGGTCTCTGGTGAGGGCATCTACTTTGCATTAAACTATTATCAATTTAACATTATTGGCTTAATCCTTTTATTTATTGTAATTAATGAGTTTTAATTGAAACTATTCATTTAATCTCGGCTTGGGTCATTTAAATTCGTTTCGTTCTTATGGCAGGTGAAATATGTTCAACACACTAACGTTTTACTTGAACGATCAACAAAGGTGTTAATTACCGGTCACCATAAACATGTCATTTTAACTGTGATACAAACAAGTATGTTTACTCAGTTTTAATCTCTTTTGAAAATGATTAGGTTACATTAGAAATACATCCGATTTGAATTTTTATCATTAGGTTTGTATCTTTTGAAAATGCTTACTTTCGAACTTCGAGACATCGAGGTCAATTTACATTAATTTTACATCAACGGGACTATAAAATTTACTCGACTTAAGCGAGTATTCAAATCATCCGAGTTTGACTCATCAGAGGTAAGTATGCATTGAGCAAACAGGAATTTTACCGGGACCGAGGAAATTACTTCGACTCATCCGAGTTTTCAACACAACCGAGTTCGACACAGCGAGGTTCGACTGTACATAAGTTTAAAAATCTATAAAGGAGATTTGCAAAATGTATCATAATAAGCAATATTTCAGCCAAGTGTCAATAAATATGACTCCTGAAAAGCAGAGAATTGTGTTCCTACTTCATACAGGAACTAAAGGATGACAGTATTACACTGAAATGAAAAATGTGTAAAAAATTTATTGAATAAGACAACTGAAGTACAATGTGACATTATAGCTAGCATTATGTGAAATCTGATCAAATTTTCCTTGCAGGTGGTTAGGAATTTTTCTAATGATGAAAATGGCATACAGCATACATCACCATAGAACATGGCATAGTGAAGATACAAGGTCAGTAAATATATTATTTAATGATTTGATTGATTGGTTGGTATGTAATGCTACTTTTAGCACTATTGGGTATTTCATTGCGGTCAGTTTTTATTGGTGGAGGAAGCCAGAGAGAACAACCGACAATGGGCAGGAAAACTAACAATCCTAGTCAATTAAGATTGGAGTCGAATGCACCTGCCACATAAGGGGTTCAAATTCACAATCTTGGTCATTACAGGCTAGTGATGCAGTAGTTCAACTACTGTATCACTAGCCTGTTTATTAGTCCCCTACCGACGAAGTCAAAGGGGACTTTAGGTTTGCACTCCGTCCGTCTGTCTGCCCGTCTGTCTGTCTGTCCATCTGTCAGTCCAGCAAATCAATTTTCCAGACTTTTTTTCTTCGTGCTTGAAGATATTGATTTGATATTTGGTTTATTGTTTTATCATGACAAGTTACAGGTCAAGTTCAATTTTCACGATTTTAGCTTTTCTCTTTGTTCAGTTAAAGCCCTTTCCCTAGAATTAAATTTTTGATGAAATACTTATTAATTAGTAGATTTCTGTTCAAAGGGAAATAACTTATTTTTTAAAAGACAAAATGACATTTTGGATTGTTTTCCTTTTCTTTGGTAAATTGCTTGAAGAATTTAGTGGTAGGTTTGTTTGTCATTCTTGAAGATATTGATTTGATAATTAGTATATAGTTTTATCATGATAAGTTACAGATCAAGTTGGAATTTTGTTCCGGTCTGATGATTTGGTGCAGAGTTATGGTCTTTGGACATAGAAAATTCACTTAAATAATCAGTTTTCAACAGTTTTTTTTGTCATGCTTGAAGATTTTGACTTAATATTTTTATGTAGTTTACACCATGACAATTTATAGATCAAGTTAGAATTTGTTCCATTACAATGAATTTTTAACCGGTAGGGGACTATGTATTGCCATGCAATACTCACAGAATGCTTGTTATTTGTACCTTTGATTGATTTAAATTTGCCTGTACTTTGCCAGGAATATGAGATCAATGTTTTATTACAAATAATAAATCAGTATTAACTTTTCTTTATATTTGTAATAAAAATTGATCTCAAACACTCTCAGCATATTCAGCTGTAATAAAATATTTATCAGGAGAAATATTTCGGTGTGTCTACTCTTATTTGAAAAAAAAACATTGTTCAGTAAACATTTCTTTTCTATGGAAGTTCACTGATAAACAATTTTTTTTTCTTTTTCAGTAAATATTTAAATAGAAGAAGTTTTCTACTGTACACAGATAATCCATTGTCTTTCACAAATGTACATAATAGTCCAGTGCTCAGTGAACTTGTATTCACAAATTACACATCTACTTTATTTGGATATGAGAATCATACCTTACATTGTATGAAGGAAACTCAGGAACATTGTAAATTACGACACAGAAACCAGAAGAAGAAAAGTCCATTTAGTCCTCCACATTCACCTACAAAGGTATGTTGTTAATATTTTCTATGTTACAGTAAATCCATGTAAATCATACCTAAAGTGCTAAACCTCTGAGCAGCGGTAAATTACACTGTTTCATATCACAAAATACATATGTTGAAATTTAAATATATTTTATGCAAGGCACATCAGGACACACCACTCATTCAAGTCAAACATTACAGTTTTTTATAATATTCAAATTGTAGCTGTGCACTAATATTGACTTTCTTGGGGGTATGGGCTGTGCAAGTCTTTAAATCAATTAAATCTTATAAAGTTTTGTGTTTTTCCAAAAGATAAATAGTAGGTGCACTACACATTTAAGGGGCATTAGCAAATTCATGATCACTGATTTGACTTAAATTCTCATATTCGATTCATAACATACTAAGACTTGAATCCAAATTACAAAAATTCCTTAAGAAACAATTAACAATGCATGGACTCATTATAATGTATCAGCACTTCGTGCATATTTTAGACTAGACACCATCTAATTAACCTTCAAGATTACCTCCGAAGACTGCCGATAGTCAATCGACTTGATATAAACATAAATATCAATATAAATAGATTGAGAAGCACATGGAGTTGTGTATTAAATTACAATTTTACAAGGTCCGTTTGATTTCATGTTATAGATTTAAAAATTTGAATTACGGTTTTACCTGGATATGAATGATTTCTTGTGGGCTGAATAGGCCAAAGAAATGATTTTTTTTATGGTGGCTCCCTTGTTTCACTTTTCAATATTGACATTCTTTTCTTTTTAATAACTGAACATGCTTAAGGCATGCGTAACCCATCTTCAGCTAAAGATCAAGTTAGGGTTACATGAATATGGGTTCAACTGAGGTTGAATTATTGACTCTAATAATACATTAGCGATGTTTTGATCTTAGTTTGACCACATTGAACCAAACTTACTGCTAATAGCGAATTATTATTTCATTATTCCTCTTTTATAATTGTTTGAAACAAACAAAAGTAGTATTTTAATTTTTTGTCTTAATGGCAGCTAATGCCCCTTTAACCACAATCCTTCAAATAGTAGTAATAGAATTTTTTTTATTATATTGATTGTAAAATCATTTTAACTAAATATGAAGAACAACAATCTTAAAGTCACCCCACCATCCTTCAAAAGATTTCTGGGAAAAACAATGATAGATGGTAATGTTGTGTACTTGTTTTTTGTGAGCTTACTTCTTCTGAATCTCTGTGAAAATTATGTCATCGAGAATAAAGTTCCATTTTATATTTTAGAGTCCCAGTCATCATCCACTGCCTCATGAAATTCCACACCATCATAAATACAGACCACCAAGAGTTCTGAAATGTCAACCTACAGAGCTACCACCATACATGTACTACACAATGCCAAAGGTAATAAACAATAAAGAAATATTATAACCTCTCTCTGTGTTATACTGAAATGTCAACCTACAGAGCTACCACCATACATGTACTACACAATGCCAAAGGTAATAAACAATAGTGAAATATCATAACCTCTCTCTGTGTTATACTGAAATGTCAACCTACAGAGCTACCACCATACATGTACTACACAATGCCAAAGGTAATAAACAATAGTGAAATATTATAACCTCTCTCTGTGTTATACTGAAATGTCAACCTACAGAGCTACCACCATACATGTACTACACAATGCCAAAGGTAATAAACAATAGTGAAATATCATAACCTCTCTCTGTGTTATACTGAAATGTCAACCTACAGAGCTACCACCATACATGTACTACACAATGCCAAAGGTAATAAACAATAGTGAAATATCATAACCTCTCTCTGTGTTATACTGAAATATCAACCTACAGAGCTACCACCATACATGTACCACACAATGCCAAAGGTAATAAACAATAGTGAAATCTAATAACCTCTCTCTGTGTTATACTGAAATGTCAACCTACAGAGCTACCACCATACATGTACTACACAATGCCAAAGGTAATAAACAATAGTGAAATATCATAACCTCTCTCTGTGTTATACTGAAATGTCAACCTACAGAGCTACCACCATACATGTACTACACAATGCCAAAGGTAATAAACAATAGTGAAATATTATAACCTCTCTCTGTGTTATACTGAAATGCCCTTGTCTATCTGTCGATTATACTGTCTGTTTGAACCATCCATAATGTTAGTTACATATTACTCAGCTTCTTTATTAAAGAATGTTTTGGTCTGGAACTCGAAAATGTAAAGTTGTATCCTTTAAGTAATATTCAGATCTACCAGGCAGTCACTTCCTTTTTGATAATACTACAAATTTTTAATATTGTCACTGAGCATAGAATTTATCATCAATGTCAAATAGTGAGTGCGAGTATTCTTTCAGGACATCATGCTAATTTCTGTTTCATTCTAAATTTATAGCTTATAACATTTGGTAATAAACAATATAATACTCATTGTTCAGAAGTTTTTTTCTATACGAAACAGTTGTTAGATTCTGGAGCAGTTACACAAAACAAAATGTTATTGTTTCATTGTTTCCAGGGTAACATTCTATTAAACTGATATAACTTTAGAGAAAAAAAGTTTGATAAACTTATATCATCCAAAAAAATCATTTTTACATGCATTCTTTCACTAAATTTGGAACAGGAAAATTCAGAACATATATTAAATTTTGAGCTCTTTAAGAATACCAATTAAAATTTTCTTTGTACAGGTCAATGTAAATGCTACTAGCTGGGAATGTCATGACAGGTCAGCAGCGTGGCAGATAATGAAAGAGAATCTGTGTGGAACATTGGAAGCAAGACAGAGTTTGTTGTATGGTACACCAGAAATATACACTGGGGTCCGTTGGTGGAACCCCTGGTACTTCTCAAAAGTCCAGCCTGGAGGTCTTCTTGGTGTTCGTCCTAAACATGGAATGTCAGGGGTACACTGTCCAGGTTTGTAAATCTCCTCATTTATTGATCAAAAAAGATAAACAGTAAAATTGAGAATGGAAATGGGGAATATGTCAAAGAGACAACAACCCGACCAAAGAGCAGACAACAGCCGAAGGCCACCAATTGGTCTTCAATGCAGCGAGAAAATCCCGCACCCAGAGGTGGTCCTCAGCTGGCCCCTAAATAAAATTGTGTGCTAGTTCAGTGAAAATGGACGTCACGCTAAACTCCAAAACATATAAATGAACTAAAATTAAAAACCATACTACATTTATCACCTACAATAGTACATTTAAGTGTTGTTGTTTTCTTTCATTAATGCAGCTTAAAAAGCTTATTTGATGCTTATTGATGAATAAAAATAATTGTACATAAGGATAGGATCTCTAAGTAGACCTAGGTTGAATGTCAATTAGAGAACCCATGAATAAACTCAAAATAGAATGTAGAGATTACCATACCATCTTCATTAATGGAGAAAAGATTCATACCATATGATAATCTCTAAATAAATAAAAATACAGACAGGTTGGAATTTAATCAACAAAGGTTCTGACATCAACACTTATTTTTAGTACTTTATGATACTTTATTATAGTTTGATGTAGTTGCATATACTTTTGGATAAAGGTTTTGCCATGACCCAGCATTCAAGTACCTAACCCTAGCTATTATATGCTTCTGACCTTTGACTGTACAACAGTTTGCGTCAAAAAATCAGACAAAAAGAAAATTTGTCTGGTATTTTTTTAATTAAATTAATGAAAGGAATTAAAAATATTATATATTTGTTGTGACTTCACAATACAAGCTAAAATCCAATGTTTTTAAATTTAGCTATGAGTATTTTGTTTTTCAGACAAAGAGAGTTTGGTAACTGATGCTGGAAAGTTGTTTGTATTGGATACATTGCTACAAAGACTGAAATCTGAAGGACATCGTGTACTTATATACTCACAGATGACAAAAATGATTGATCTCTTAGAGGTACACTATATTGTAATTTGCTATGTTTCATGCTAATGGTTATTAAACTTGCGTTCAGTTCGAACAAATCTTCTGAAATATTTACACAATGTAATAAATGATGAATTCCAGGTAACATTTGGTTTCATAGATTTCACATGTCCTGATCATGATTTATAGCCCTTGGCTAAATTAAAAAGATGTAAGATTTAGTTCGGTTACTATTAGTAAAGAGCCATTTAGAATGTTCATATTTTTGCACATTTTGAATCACTTGAAAATAGATAATGGTTCCATAATAATGGAGAAAACATGTCATTGTATAAAATGCAAAGAGCACCTAATAGAATTATATGGTTTTATCCATGTAAAATTTTTTGCTAAACACTTGCATACTTTTAACTTTTAGGAGTACATGTGGCATAGAAAGCATATCTATATTAGATTGGATGGTTCATCAAAGATATCAGAGAGGCGAGACATGGTAGCTGATTTCCAGTCTAGGAATGATATATTTGTGTTCTTATTAAGTACAAGAGCTGGTGGATTGGGAATTAATCTCACTGCTGCTGATACTGTAAGTCATTTCAAGAAGGAGGATGATTGTTTATTTCAGTGTCATCACAATTTTTGTTTGTAATCTTTGGTAATAAGTTAAACTGAAAATCTTCATTTCATGTTGAAAATAGTGAAAAAGAAGATACAGAATCATTTTGCATTCAAAGATTACTGATTTAAATTCAGGAGGTGTTTTTCCCCCAAAAAGTTTGATGAAAATAAATGAAAAAAAGCAACCCCCTTGGAAATATTTCTTACTATTTCTCCCTGTAGTTTATAGGGTTTGTGATTAATTCATTTCAAGTGAGTATAGTAGAAATTTTGTTGTTTTAGGTGATATTTTATGATAGTGATTGGAACCCAACCGTGGATCAACAAGCTATGGACAGAGCCCACAGATTAGGTCAGACCAAACAAGTTACAGTATATAGACTAATCTGTAAAGGGACCATTGAAGAGAGAATTCTTCAAAGGGCCAAAGAAAAAAGTGAGGTATGGGCTCTGTTTGAATATTATGCTAAATATGCCTGATTTTTTTCCCATAAAATTGTAAGAGGACTATCAATCTGATTGGATATTTATTGGTGAAAAAGAACATTTGTGTATCATTTGCTTTATTCCACAGTGAAATTTATACATTGGGTTCCATTTATTTTTGTTCAGTTTAGATATTAGAATATTTGGTATGTTGAACAATATTACTTTTACATTCAAATGTAAATTGTGTGAGTAAATCAGTATGGTATGACTTCTAATTTTAGATACTTTTGCCTCTTTAAAAGCCTTATTTAAGTTTTTATTCTCCTTGGCGATTTTTATCATTAGGGTACCCAATTTCTGTAATTGACATGATATTGATAATGTCATAATATATAGACTTATTTTAATAACAGATTCAGAGAATGGTTATTAGTGGAGGAACTTATAGACCAGATGTACTCAAGCCAAAGGAAGTTGTCTCCCTTCTTATCGATGATGAGGAAATGGAACGAAAAAGTGAGTCAAAACTAATATTTAATGTTTCCCTTACCCTTAGAAATCTGGAATGATTCTTTGGAAAGAGGATTGAATTGCTGAATGGTCTTAATATATAGTTGATATATACATGAATATATCGCTACTTAAAGTATACCTTATGTATCACTAGTTGAAACATACTTTTATGTATTACTAGTTGAAACATACTTTTATGTATTACTAGTTGACACATACTTTAATGTATCTCTAGTTGACAAATACTTTTAATTTATCACCAGTTGATACATACTTTAATTTATCACTGGTTGACACACACTTTTATGTGTCACTAGTTAACATATACTTTAACATGTCACTAAAACATATAAATGTTGTGGTATTGATATAGTTTTCAACATTGGTAAAAATGTCAGAGTTCATGCAACCTGAACTTTATGTGATAGTCTTATAACTCTTGTTTTCAACCAGAATACTTGCACCCTAATAACCATGTATTCATATGAAAAGTTTTAACTTGAAATCCATAATTTCAGTTTTGAAAGAAAGTTTTAATGAAATATTGTTTATGACTAGTTTAACAGTAACAATATACATATAAATGAAACAATCCTACAAGAACATGCAAAGTACATTGTGTCAAACTTATGGAATATGAAAGTGATTATATAATGGTATTTGAAAACCTTGTCTTACAACAGTATTACAAAAGACAGATGAAAAGGGACCATCAAAAGATGAAGGAGGCAAGGAGAAAGAAAAGAAAAGAAAGAGAGAATATGTCAGGGTAAGACACACATACATAGCAAATATTTGTTAACTTATTTTAAGAGCAAAATGGAGTAAATTTTAAGTAGTAAACTATAATTCTTACCCATGGTTAGTGTAAACTTATATATATAGAACTACAAAAAAATGAGTTTGCCTTTTCTTTCAATCCTATAAAACAGGGAAGAGATTAATATGTGTGGAAACCTCACAAATTTTTATTAATGAATCTCCTAATTTGATATTTACTCTTAAATGGTTAAGAAACATTAGTTTTGAAAATGCAGTCATCTCTTTTCCCAGTCCAATTGTTTTTGAATGCAGACATAATATAATTTGTAAATCCTTCTCCATTCTCACGTTACTGAGATTATAAAATTCATAAAACTTTTTACAGATTTGAATCTTATAAATCAACCAATTCTATTTTTAGAAAAAGGATTCCAAAAAGGCAAAACAAGATGAGAATGTAACAATTCCAGCAGATACAGAGTCAATGACTAGTTTTGATTCTATGTCTGTCCCAGCCAGCCCTCAGAGTGTTGTAAGTTACTTGTGATATATGCCATTGTATAACATGGAACTAACAGTTACTAATTAACAGGATAAATGGAGATATTGTGCGGAAATCATTACCATTCTTTATCATTTAAAACTTTTATGCCCCCAATGCAGCGGAGGGGACATTGGTATGAAACTTATACACAATATTTATTACTACAAAACACAGATCAAGTTTAAATTTGGGTGGCATCACTTTTACCGCTCTAGAGTTGTGCCCCTTAAATGGGAAAATTGCTGAATTTTTTGTTTCCATTCTCTTACTTAAGTTTGCCTCAACCAAATGTTATGAAATTTATACACAATGCTTATTATCATCAAGTTCGAATTTTAGGTGGCGTCACTTTTACAGTTCTCTAGTTACGTTCCTTTTATAATGTTATATGCAAGCGGGGGCATCGTCTGTGTCCCATGGACACCTTCTCCATTTGTTTAAAAAAAAGTGAAAAACAAAAAATCAGATTCAAGTGGGTGCTAGGTATTGTGTTGAGAAAAAAACTTGCTGTTTTGATGATACTTATTACTGTGGTTTACTTGCTGATACAAAACAAGTGAAAGATGTTATATAAATTTTCATGGTTCGTGTCATCAACAAAATTCCATGAATGTAGAATCTATCTAATGATCATGAAACCATAGCAACAAGGATTTAAGTCATTAATATAGAAATAAGGAGATCTGATATGATTACCATTGATCAAGGGACAAGGATGTGAAAAAATACATGTCATTGTAATCTGAACCAAAATAATTTAAAAAATAGAATTAAAATATTTTATCTCAAATTAGTTAGTATTGAAAAAGAGGATTTTTCTATCAATCTGAAGTATCCTATTAAACATGAATTCTCAGTGAATAACCGGCAGAATGAATAATTGATTTAATATATGATTCACTGTTTGCTCCAAAATATCAAGTTTAATAAATGAAATAATCTCTTATTCAATTCCATAAGATGTTTTTACCTGTAACTATCATTTGAGGAAGGAATATTTCATTAAAGTTAAAAATTCTTTATTATTATTTTAGATATCATACGGCAGCGAGTTCACTCAGCAATCTGGATTTGGTGTAGATGATAGCAGTAATGATGCTTTAGTCATTGTTGATGACCCACTATTGGGAGGATCAACTCAAGGTTAGTAGTAATGACCTTTAGTCATTGTGGATGACCCACTATTGGGGGGGTCAACTCAAGGTTAGTAGTAATGACACTTTAGTCATTATTGATGACCAGCTATTGGGAGGATCAACTCAAGGTTAGCAGTAATGACGCTTTAGTCATTGTTGATGACCCACTATTGTGAGGATCAACTCAGGGTTAGTAGTAATGACACTTTAGTCATTGTTGATGACCCACTATTGGGAGGATCAACTCAAGGTTTGTAGTAATGACGCTTTAGCCATTGTAGATGACTCACTATTGGGAGGATTAACTGAAGGTTTGTAGTAATGACACTTTAGTCATTGTCGATGACCCACTATTCGGGGGATCAACTCAAGGTTTGTAGTAATGACACTTTAGTCATTGTTGATGACCCACTATTGGGGGGATCAACTCAAGGTTAGTAGTAATGACACTTTAGTCATTGTTGATGACCCACTATTGGGAGGATCAACTCAAGGTTTGTAGTAATGACGCTTTAGCCATTGTAGATGACTCACTATTGGGAGGATTAACTGAAGGTTTGTAGTAATGACACTTTAGTCATTGTCGATGACCCACTATTCGGGGGATCAACTCAAGGTTTGTAGTAATGACACTTTAGTCATTGTTGATGACCCACTATTGGGGGGATCAACTCAAGGTTAGTAGTAATGACACTTTAGTCATTGTTGATGACCCACTATTGGTAGGATCAACTCAGGGTTAGTAGTAATGACGCTTTAGTCATTGTTGATGACCCACTATTGGGAGGATTAACTGAAGGTTTGTAGTAATGACACTTTAGTCATTGTTGATGACCCACAATTCGGGGGATCAACTCAAGGTTTGTAGTAATGACACTTTAGTCATTGTTGATGACCCACTATTGGGGGGATCAACTCAAGGTTAGTAGTAATGACACTTTAGTCATTGTTGATGACCCACTATTGGTAGAATCAAATCAGGGTTAGTAGTAATGACGCTTTAGTCATTGTTGATGACCCACTATTGGGAGGATTAACTGAAGGTTTGTAGTAATGACACTTTAGTCATTGTCGATGACCCACTATTCGGGGGATCAACTCAAGGTTTGTAGTAATGACACTTTAGTCATTGTTGATGACCCACTATTAGGGGGATCAACTCAAGGTTAGTAGTAATGACGCTTTAGTCATTGTTGATGACCCACTATTGGGAGGATCAACTCAGGGTTAGTAGTAATGACGCTTTAGTCATTGTTGATGACCCACTATTGGGAGGGTCAACTCAAGGTTTGTAGTAATGACGCTTTAGTCATTAAAAATAAAATTGAGAATGGAAATGGGGAATATGTCAAAGAGACAACAACCCGACCAAAGAGCAGACAACAGCCGAAGGCCAACAATGGGTGTTCAACGCATCGAGAAAATCCCGCACCCAGAGGTGGTCCTCAGCTGGCCCCTAAATAAAATTGTGTACTAGTTCAGTGAAAATGGACGTCACACTTAACTCCAAAACATATAAATGAACTAAAATTAAAAAACATACAAGACTAACAAAGGGAAGAGGCTCCTGACTTGGGACAGGTGCAAAAATGCGGTGGGGTTAAACATGTTGTTGATGACCCACTATTGGGAGGATCAATTCAAGGTTTGTAGTAATGACGCTTTAGTCATTGTTGATGACCCACTATTCGGAGGTTCATCTCAATGTTTGTAGTAAAATATTGAAATGAACTAAGACTTGCTAGATAGTTATCATTATTGTTGATTAGCAATTAGAGATAGTGTGCTTAGAGTAGTTAATGAGAAATAACATAGTTTCATTAGGTAAAAGGGAAAAAAGGTCACAGGAAAAAAAGTCACACATTTGATAGAAGTAGGAAAAAAAGTCACAAGAAATAATGTCCATTTTTTAACAAATGTTTAATGGTATTTCATTTCTTTTCTCTTTTAAATTTATACGGAATGATAAAAAATTATATATTGATAATATAAACCTAAATTTTTTAAGATTTTAAGTGTTATAATCTGTCCAGACAGTAGGCAATTGACAGGAAATGTAAAAAGTAAATTGAAACCATTTAATTAGTTAAATACTGTCTGTTGAATTGTTTTTAAAAACTTGACATAGTCATGGACAGAGATGGGTCCTATTACTTTCAATGTAATTGATTAAATTACAACTACTTTGTCAATTGTACGATTAAATTAAATTAATGATTACATCATTTCTCAAAGTAGCTGATTAAATTAATGATTACATTGGCAAGTAATCATGATTACATCTGATTACAATGAATTTCAAAATAATCCATTTGAATGATGTCTTTCTTCATTAGGAAATAAATGCCTGTTAACTAAGTCAGGAATATGACAGTTGTTATCCATTCATTTGATGTGTTGAGTACAGTATTTTGTTTTTTCACTTTTTGATATGTTATGAAATGATAACTTCCAAATTCAAAATGATAACTTCCAAATCCAAAATGATAACTTCCAAATTCAAAATGATAACTTCCTCCAAATTCATTGATTTAATATACCACTAAGATTCACAACATATAAACATGAACATGTTGTCACTGGTTATGGCCCTTTACACTTCACCATTATATAATTATAAATCTTTGAAATATTTTGACTTCTATTGAATAAAGGCTTCTAAAGAGGCTTGGCTATTGTCTTTCTGACATCTTACAGATTTTATATGTATTTCAGTTATCAGTCAAAAACACATCTAAAAATTGTAATAGTATTGTTTAATAATCATTACATACTTTAATTGGTCCCCTACCTGTCAATTAAAATGTGACAATAATCACAATATCAACAAAAGGCTTATAATTCAGGTTTACAAAAAGTATAACATGAATAAAACAATCATCAAGTGCAAATCTTTTAATTGTGAATATATGTATAATACTTTTTATTTAGGCTAACAATGACTAAATATTGTAACAGTTTATTTTTTTAAAGAAGTAAATAAATAAATTAAGCCTAAACTAAAAATAGCATGAATTATTTACAATATAAACCTATGATCAATGAAATAGTTATCAAAATAAAACAGAGGTCAATATTTTCCTTTCTTTTTGATGAAAAAAAACCCAGAATGTTAAGCCTTTCACCAATTCACTTCAAATCTTAATTAAATCAAAAATGTAGATTTTTGAATCCTATAAATTTGTTATAAATATTAATCATATTTCTATTAATTTATTCAATAAAAATTAAACTCAGGGTTTTAATTTGTTCTCATTAACCTCCAAGAAATCAAAATAAATCAAACATATTACATAATAATCATCCTTATCTTGCGATGTGTCAAAAAAGTTTGAAGTTGTCTTTGTATGTTCAAATATTACAGCTGTACAACTTAGAAATAATCACACAAATTGAGAATTATTTTCATTGTAATCAGAATGTAATCAAAAAGTAATCAGGATTACAAGGTATTTTGAAATGTAATTGATTAAATTAAATTACATGTAATCAGATTTTTTGCTGATTAATGATTACAATGATTACTTGAAAAATTGTAATCGATTACAGCTGATTAATGATTACAATTACAATTACCCCAAGTCTGGTCATGGACAACATTTTGTTTACGATCTAAGAAAATTTATTAAATTGCAATAAACACAAACAGTAAAATACCACACATATTCTGAAACACTGTCTTGTTGATGGTATTTACATACAATTTCAAATAACTTTTTCCATACATTAGAGACATATAATGTATATGTTTTTGCCTACATCTTAACAAAAATCTATTCAAAAGAATATATATATTCAAAACTTAATGTATACCAAATTTACTATTTTTATGTCCCTGCCGTAACGGAGGGGACATTAAGTTTTACCCTTGTCCGTCTGTACTTACGTACGTCCTAAAATTGGTTTCCGTTCTCTAACTTTAGTTTGCCTCAACCAAATGTTATGAAACTTATATACAATGCTTATTACCACAAAACACAGATCAAGTTTGAATTTTGGTGGCGTCACTTTTACTGTTCAAGTTTTTATTATTGTGACTTCATTTCCTCTGACCTTTTTCCTGTAAATTTTTAGTGTGACTTTTTTCCTTGACTTTTTTTCCTGTGACTTTTTTTCCTACATTCTTTTATTATCATGTGATAACCCAAATGAAATATCACATTTTGATAAGCTGATTATCTCAAGTTAATTTGATGACTGGTAAATTTGAGGATCAGCACTATTAATGGGATAGTAGTGGCAGGATTAATCTCACAACTTTATATTGTAAAATCATAGTGGGTTAAATAAATTGAAAAATTGTACTTTGCATGACGATATAAGATGGATAAAGTCTACTGAATTGGTGATCATAAACAATGTCATAATATTCTCAAAACATCAGATCATCAAAACTGTTAAGTTGTGACTAGAATATTTAATAGAGCTTCAGAGAATTATATTGAGGATAAATTAATTAATCAAGATCTGTGTATTTACTCTCTACTCAGTTAATTTTTATTAGGGCCCCGCCGAATGGCGGACACGCTATAGTGATCAGTCTGTCCGTCCGTCCGTAACAAATCGTGTCCGCTCTATATCTAGAGAACCGTTACGATTTCAAAGTTTATACTTGACATGTATATTAACCAACACTAGAGGGGGTGTCATAATGTTTGTAAAACTTCCTAGGTCAAAGGTCAAGGTCAAAAACTTTGGTTTTAGTTGACAACCCCATGTCCTATGGTAAAGATCGTGTCCTCTCTATATCTTGAGAACCGTTATGATTTCAAAGTTTATACTTGATATGTATATAAACCAACACCAGAAGGTGTGTCATTATTTATATACAACTTCCTAGGTCAAAGGTCAAGGTCAAAAACTTTGGTTTCATTTGACAACCCCATGTCCAATGATAAAGATACAAATTTTTTACCACATATTATTCACAGCGGGGCTCCCATCTCAATGATATCTAGTTTTGAATGTTATGCAAATCCCAGTTTGTTTTGTTATTCCTGTGATATTTTTCATAAGTTCTAATTCTTATTGATAATACTTGAGGAGAAAATACAGCCTTTCATTGATTTATCTACAAGCCACAAAAAATGAAACATCATTAAATAAAAAGATTACAAAATAGTCACAAATACATCCAAACAGATATTCTATGAAACAATTATTTAACCTTGTAGCTTTGACCCCACCAACTAAAAGAGGAAAGAGAGGTCGTCCAAAAGGTTCTACAGGATCACGGAGGCCTAGGGGTAGAGGACTGAAGAAAGCTTTAAGTGCTGCTGAAATTGCAGGTGCCCAGGCAGGTTTAACAGCGGCATATGCTGCTTATGGATATAATTTCACAGGTAAGGATGGATAGGTAGTGCTAGGGGAATTTTCAGGTTAACTTTAATTATCTGCAGATAATACATGGTTATTTTCATATAACTAGGGTTATTAAAGAATGGCTAATGATCTAAGTCACTAACTATAACCAGTCAATTACCAATGCCTCCATTAAAGGAGAGTTCAGTGATGATATGTAACTTTGAACGATTTTTCTGCACTGTTAGATGATATGCAAAGAATAAGAATGGAATCAGTAATTTGAAGTTCAAAGTCTTACACAAAGTTTAATTTTACAGATTGAAGGTTTATGTTAACTCATTGATTCCAATCTATTTATTGAATACCGCTTGAAGTTCTTCGATGCTACTTGAATGTTCCCTTAGCATCTTCTGTGTCTTTTTTAGTTTGATTGCTCACTATTTATAACCGATCTGTGACAATCAAAGGTTGCATACTTTAAATGTTTAATATTGCAGACCCTGGGTCTATGAATACAAATGTCACATATCCTTATTTGTAAATAATAATGAATATTCTTTTTAGAAGTGCCTAATGTATAAAATCTGAATAAATTGAAAAATTTAAACAGAAAGGAAGGGTTATAAGTATCTCTTTCTGGATTTTTCCATAACAAAAGTTTGATGTGAATTATACAGATCTCTATATTTATCTCTTCAGAAAGCTTAGTTTTGAAATATCTGAAATTTCAAAAAAAATTGTCAAAATTTAAATTTATTCTCAATACAAAAACATGGATATTTTCATATCTTGCCAACCAAACATGGGAATTCTTAACTCTGCAATATCATGGCAAGCTTTGTAATGAATAAAAAATAAATTAAAACATATAATGACCCTGTTCATCAACTTACAGTGTATCAGAAAATTGCATAGAAGCTCAAGGCTTCATTATATTATAATTTGAAATTTTCCTTTGTTCAGGTAAAACACTTTCTCCTTAAGCCTTTTTACCTGTGTTTTCATTTGTCCAACATGATTCAAATAATTGTCATTGATAATTTTTTAGAAAAGTCACAATTAGGGGTGATGACAATATCTAATTAAATACTAGAAATATGCTATGTACCGAAGAAACAATCCTCTTATTGCTGTTATTCATCTTGTCAGTTGTGGAAGTTCTTTGGCATGGAAGAAAAGAGCTTACACTTTGCAGCAAGATCTAGACAGTGCCTATTGTCAACTTCAGTAATACTATGAAGTCTCTATTATTCATAGATAATTGATACATGAGTATTTTTAAGGAGTTTATATCATGTTGCAGTAATCAGTAAATTACATACAGATCTGAAAATCAGAACTATAAAATCTTAAGAATATTAGTTTTTACTAGTTCTTCAGGATTGACTGATTGGCTGTCATTAAGAATTTTTTTATATTTTACAGGTACTGGTAGTTCTCCAAGCAGTAAAAGCAATAGTTCATTCATGATTGGTGATTCTCCAAAAAATACAAACTCACCACAAGATTCAAAGAAACAATAGGACTACATTTTATGTGTGCACAAATTGTTGATGCATTTTAATGATTGCATGTGATGCAAATTTAAGTTGTTAGTTAAGAAGCATGCATGTCATTGCCTAATGCATTTATTTGAGTAAATTTAAGTTTTACTGTCTTTACATCTCACCTTGTGTAAGTGATTTCTGTCATTCAAATATTCCAAATGTTGGAATATTAAATTGTTCATCAGTTTTTCAATTATTTCAAGTCATCCAATAAAACATGAAAATTTTATAAGTCCTTCTATGTGTATTATTCTAGACTTTAAACATCACTTTGAATGTACCTTTCTCATTTAAATTAAGACTCTTTTAAAACAAACTTTTTGTTAAATGACAAATAATTTGCTTTTACCACTTCTACAACTTTGAGAACAATTATTTAAAAGAATTTACATCAAGTTTTTTCATTGTTTATTTTACCCATTGTTGTAATACCCAATTTAAGAAAAAACTTGCCAAGGAGTAATCTCCCTTTGCCATTGAAAATTCACAGATAATCCCTTTTGATTTCCCTGAAATACAGGAATCAATGTTCTAAAGTAGCTTGATTTAATTAATTCTGACTTAGCTAATTTGATTTAATGGCCAAGGCTTATTGCATAAAGTTAGGTTAAAGGTCAGTAAGTTAATATGTTTATGCTGAAGTCGTTAAAAATATTAATAAAAGAAGATGTGCATGTTTGGGAATAATTACCAAAGAAGTCTATAGATCTTGTTGCATTATATTGAATCTGTAATAGGAATACCTATATAATTACTATATATTGATTAAAGCATGTAACATTTACATGAATTTTACCTAACATTGCTTCTTATTTATACAATATATTTGGTAATAGATTGTTATGTTTAAGTGATGGCATATTTTTTTGTAAAAAATGTTGGAAACAATTACAAAATCATGGGAAAAAAATAAAAATATTGAAACAAGATTATTTGTTGTTTCCTTCTAAATATTTGTCATCTCCTCACAGAATACTTGTGTTGAACATTGCTCAAGATTTTAAAGTGGCCAACTTTAAAATACACACTCTACAAAGACATGCCTCAGAGAAAATACTTTTAATTGTAAATTCCCTCGAAATCGTGGAAGGCTTTATACCAATACTAGTTGACACTTTTAAATAATAAGGAACTTTAAGCAGTTCAAAGATTTACTTCTAAAATTTATTAGCACTTTAAATTCTCCCTCATGAATTCGTCCGAATTTAAAACATTTCTATACTAAATACATGGCTAAATAAGAGACAAGTCATAATTTAGGTTTGTTTGCTCGCAGTAACTTTCTTATTTTCTCAGCGAAACAACATTTAATATCTTGTAAACATTTTACAAATTACAAAAATATACCACAATTCCATCTATATACATTCACAATGTCCTCTAAATACATATCAATACAAACATAACTGTAATATATTATGCAGAGCTTAACGTTAACTTCGTCTATCAAAGTTACTGGAGCACATCGATAATAATCAAACGTAATCAGGACTTATATATGCCTATAAAACCCCCACCCGTACTACCGCCCTCGAAATATTCGTGTAGAAAACAACAGTAACATCAGACCACTTCTGATTTACATACTAGCCAAACTTGTACCACAAGTCTAAAGATAGAAATAGAATAGGGAAATTCAAAATATAACGAATAGAAATAAATATATTTTTGTGCACAGAGGTTAATGCATCTATAGGTCTCACTGAGAAAATAGTTGTATTTTGGTATAAATGAAAACTCTACCTTACAACTTACTTTACTGAAATATTGCTGAAATATTTGATAATATGATATGTTCATGCAGATTTCTTTGTAAAATAGAAATGCAATATTTACCGATATTTTTACTGGTCTTCCTTTAGGAATATACCTAAAAGTAGAGATTTCAGATGAGTTAAAAATATTGCATCTTGACAGATATTGCATTCCATAATTTCTGCACAATGTTTGGTATACATTAGATAAATTCTGAGTATTATATTTGCAAACAAGCAAACAAGAGATGAACAAGATGGTAGAAATGGACATTGCATCCTTCCTGCATGCATCAGCTCTAAAGGAATTTGATGAAGTATCATCAATGTTGCCAATATATTTGGTACAATTGTATATTATAAAAGGGTTACTGCACTAATATTGAAGTAATTTACCCTTGTAATATATCACATCGCACGCGCAAGTTCCTGCAACATAATATACTGCTTGGGACAATATTTCTGAAAAGTAATTCAAAAACATCATTACTGGATAACTATTGGGTTTTGTTGGACATGATTGAATAAATTTGATATATGTTTTATTGTGATTACCATCAATCTTAAGATTATGTTTCATTATGAGTCCATTGAGATTCAACTCGAGTTCATTTGAGTTCTACACAAAAATTATTTGAATAAAGCGTTATATTTTAGAAAATAGAAGAGCTTAAAAATCTATCCTGTTTACAGATGCATGATAGTCTGAAATTTCCTTCAGACATATGTCCTTTGCCCTTCACCTCAATTTCTTAGTTCAATGGTATTATTTTTTCATTGCCTGATCGTTCAGTTACTTTTAGCAATATGTCAACAATATTTGATCTTCAAAATCAAGTTAGATGTACTTGTTCATCTGATATTGTTCACTGACCTTGGTCTCATTGTCTTGGTTAACTTTAGTTTAAGTGATTGTCAGTTTCTCAGTTACTGGAAGAAATAGATCTGGTCTATAGAATCATTGTAAAGAGTGTGTGTCTGTCTGTCTGTCTATCAGTATTTACATTATCTGAAGCATGTCTGCAAAAAAGTTTTGAAAGGAATCTTAGGAACCAACCTAGATAGGTCAGAGACTGTCAACCTTCTGGCACTGTAATGATCAGTAGATTGTTCTCAATTTGATCTTGAGGAAATCTGATATCAGATTTGAGCAGACATACACAAAATTTAGAATATAACTTCATTTACAAACGTGGAACACAAGATGAAACTCAAACATGTCAAAAGTGAAAAAAAATTATGTCCAGAGTAAAATGAACTACCTCTTGTGTTTTATAATTGAGTAATCATACCAATTATACTGAAAAGTAGTTGCAAACGAATTGTTTACCTGGCTAGATTAATAAAATTAGATTTAGTGAGTTGTCTGTTTAAAGCAGCTGCTTTTATATCTAACATTTTTATGACAATTTTAATTCTAAAGAGAGACTACACACTTAGTGCTTTAGTTAATTTGTATCACCTTTAGCATTAGCTCAAACCTATAGAGAAAAATTCATATTCTAGAGACATTGATATCAATGTTTACTTCAATCTTACCACTTAACTGCCTCAACTATTTGCAACTGCCTTCTACCTTAGTCCTTACCCATACATTTTTATAGAGTGTATTGTTAGTTACAGGTCATTAGCACACTGTGTAACGAATTTGTCTTGCAGATTATCTTAACATGTGGTATTTTAGAATAGTGGCCTATCAAAGTGATCAAGTCTTCAATATTAAAAACTTACTTCCATTGGTCTATACAAAAACAAATGCCAACAATAACAACTTGTTAGCTTTTAATGTGTTTTATGAATTTATTTCAATCGTTCATCATCAATTTCTTCGTCTGTTGAAACCTTTCAGATTTTTTCTCCACACCGTGTTGTTTTTACAAAAGCACATAACACCTCTACTAACCGTGTATTGAAATAAACCACGCCTAGTAACCCTATATGAAATATACACGATCTCCACGCGGTTACTTTTAACCAATCATATTCCTAGAAATGAATAGGAGGTATGATAAACGGTAATACCTTTCGTCATCTCACTGAAAGGAGTTCTTCAGTCTTCTCTCAACGTCATCGAACACATCACTTGCTTTTTTCCTGATACATTTCTTTTAAATTTCTTACTGATAACAGAGACATATATATATATATTCACAATTATCGCTATTTTGTGTATTTTTCCTTTGATCTTTTATTTCGATAATTTTTCATATCATGCTACTCACTTGAAGTTGAGGTAGAAAATTATCGTCAGAAACTAAGAGCGCACGTGCCGTTGTCAATGTAAAAATGTAGCGATAAACAGATTATCAATGGTCTTTCAAACTCTAGGATGTTTCTCGGCCACATCTCATCTCCTTTGATGAGATTGTAGCTGAGAAACACCCTCTCGTTTGAAAAACCATCGATAATCTATAATTCTTACTGATACATACATGTACTGGCAACACAGGAACTGCGAATGCTTGTACAATTGATCTTTTGGCGATCATACAGGAACAACTCTAAGTGGAAATTTTATAGAAGCAAAATGTTAGATCACGATGCTACTTAAAAGTGCGTCAACAGGTTCCGATGATCAAATGTCAATAATAGAGTCAATCGTAGGGGATCAGTTGTCATATCGTAATCCCAATGAAGATTTTGATGATCAATGTTCTATTCCCAAAAGTATTTTTGTAATCCAGTGGAAAGACAACAAGGGCACCTGATGCATCTGATCTAAATGAAAAGACTTCCTTTTATTCATAAAATGGCAACAGTCCTCGATGTAAAACATTAATCTGTAGATTCTCTAGGTAATGAGTGCCCTTCATTCATTTCAGCAAGATTGAAAGCTGATAGGACTGATAAAAAATTGGCGATTAAACTGCCTCCGTAAGGTACCATTATTGACATAGTCGGTAGAAAAGTTGGCTCTAACGAGGCATTTGAAAAAAATAGAGCTATTTGTAGCAGGGATGAGACTTTCATGGTTATGAAAGACGATTTTAATGTTTTTTTACAACTCCCTTAAGTGGGATGACAATAACATAAAAGTGCCTTTAATAAATCTCGGGTTCCGTTAATGTACTAGTATCACCAGAGACATACATATATATGTGTATATATGTCTCTGGTGTCACCTTTTCAAAGAGAATTAGATTGCGATTTTGTTGTAAGGACAACTCAGCCAAGGCACAATTGTTTAGCCTTTCTTAAGGTTCTACGATTTCTGCGAAGAGCGGGTTGTGTGGAAGAACGTAATGTAATAATTGACTGTTTTAGAAGTTTGACTGATTTGCCCACAAGAAACATGCATGGCTAGCTCAGTTATAAGAAGGAATGTTAACCTCATTAGTAAGTCTTTTCGTTGTATTTCGTTTATTACCATGGCGTTGTCCGTTTTTTCCGACGTATGAGTTTTGAATGTCCCCTTGGTATCTTCCGTCTCTTTTTACGTTTATCTACTGAAAAATTTATTGAAGCATCCCGTTTTTTTTTGGCAGTCAGCTTTTTAATGGGCAATACTTTGAAACACTGCATACCTCGGTACAGAATTTACGTGATACTAGTTAGACCCAGACTGTGTACAATGGTAATTATAACAAGAACTACAAGTTTAGAGATGATAGAACTCCTGCTAAGGAGTTGAGGAAGAAGACGAAATTGAATCATGTTAATACTTCTGATCACCATATGGCTAAAGTTGCTAGGACAAAGACCAGTAATCTTAATTCTAACTTTACTAATGATAATTTTCGTGAAGGAAATATTTTAGGAAAGACAATTTATCCAGGAAAACAGCTAAGGATCAAAAGATTTCCAAGCTCCCAGGAAGTATAAGTACAGAGAACTTTGTACAAGCTGTAAACAAAAGTCCAAAGGTATAGACATGTATGGGCACGTATAGATAGATAGATAGATAAATTTTTATTTCCAAAGAGGACCTATTATCGGCATAATCAGTACAGTGATTTTGTTTTATATTAAACAATTGCAATATAGACAATACACAAGAAAAACAACTCGAACATGAAATATAAATTGAGTTAATAATATATATAGTCATATAAACCATAATGTTTAGTGTTTATTGACCATGCACCAGAAGCAGCATCACATCCATTACAAAAATAGCTTTTATGAGTTAAGTCTTTCCTCGTGGCTGATGCAAATGAACAAACAGTATTGTTGTCCATATGCAGGAGTCACCAAATGCAGGTGCTTAAAGGACACTTAAGCAACTACACAAAAATATGAATATTTAAACACTTTACAACTCAAGCATAAACTAATACTCAAAAAGGATTATTATATAGTCCTCCTCGTGACTAATGCACATGGACAAGAATATTATGCAGTTATCCAAATGCAGGAGTCACCAAGGGCAGCTGCTTAAAGGACATAGAAACATGTTATGTAAAGTTTTTGTGCAAACATTATTTGGATTTGGATGCAGCCTCTAGCACAACTTGTTCCAACGCTCTGAGAAAGAATACACAAAATTACACAGAAAACACAATTAATGGTATAAATTATGAGTATTTTTCATTATGTTTTATGAAAGCATATATTTCGTACAAGATAGCCTTGTTTTCGTTACTCATTAACCAAATAAACTGATCTTTAATAGTCAACATCATGATCAAAATTAGTATATGTTAATGTTGCACAGGAATGTTGGACAAAGATGACAGGAAATCAATGAGTACAAGACTTTACAAAAAGGTCTTAGATAGGAATTCATGAGCCAGCCAAGTATAATCAAAGTACTGAAGTACTGAACATCGGATGACTGCAAGTTCTAGTGGATGGTCACAAGCACGTGTCTCAGAAAAAAAATCACATCTCTATACCTGAAAGTTAGGTTAAGGAACATAGATATATTTTTTTTCTGAGACAAGTTCCTGTGTGGATGATGAATTAATGACAAGGAATTCAACCTCACCGTTATAACTATTATATTGTAGTGTTATAGTATACTCTGGTTTGTTGTTATATATTATATTAATATTTGTATAACAGTTATATATAATTTTCATCCATTTGTATATGATTCTATTCTACTGTTCTAATGATAGTGCAGTGCAAATGTATGGTGGACACTCTTCTGTAATAATTCGTTTTTCTAATAGATTGGATTTGAGTAGGCATTCATATTTTCCCGCGTTTGTTACAAAACGTTCTTGAGATATTCTTCCGTATGCGTTAACACAAAGTTTTGGTATTCTTAATTTGTTATTGATATATATATATTTCTCACGACAAAACATTTTCATATCATTTATCTATGTTCTTAAAAATTATTTTCATGAATATTTATTGATGAAATTAATATATAACAATCGATAAGGAATGGATACTCGATAATATCCGCGTAATTATACGAAATACGTTCGGTTATCAGTCAAAAAAGCAAGTCACGTGGATAGAAATGTCTGCGGCAACATAACACCGAAATGCCCTCACGGTCATCTGTTGTAAAAATAAAGGAAGCGTGCCTTCTACGAGTCAGTTTTTTCATCAGACATGAGCGTTTTATTATAAAAAAAATGTCATAGAGCCTGGACAAGAAAATTTGTGATATTACAGCTCAGTTTTCAATGTTTCAGAAGGTGCAAGGAGTACTACGACAAATTCTCAACCTCAAACCACTGAATCAATAGGAGTACCTAGTCATTTCAAGATGGAAACCGTCGGTCAATTATGAAAGCAGTGAAAAGTAAAATAACAAAAATACCGAACTCCAAGGAAAATTCAAAACGGAAAGTCCTTTATCAAATGGCAAAATCAAAAGCTCAAACACATCAAACGAATGGGAAACAACTGTCATGCTCCTGACTTGGTACAGGTATGTCCTTATGTAAAAAATGGAGGATTAAACCTGGTTTTATAGCTACCTAAACCTCTCACTTGTATGACAGTATGCAGTAACTTTGTGTTTGACAGATACAAATAGATTCAGGTTCCTAGGTCACAGTAAATAAGTACATAGTAAAATACTTCAAAATTTCCCCGACAACACAGTAAAAGTTTGTCATATTTCTGCACATTACGAGAGACAACTCTGACAATGTAATGGAAAAGAAGGGATATTCATGACAAAAAATTCTTACACGAACTATTAACTTTGTTAGATTTATTTGTAAAAAAAAATGAAAACAACACGTTATTAATTTCATGCGTCCGAAGCGCTTTTCTGAATTTACCTTCATCACAGTGTAATTCCATCCCCCTGCTGGCTATTTGAGGCATAAAACATGAAGAAATGAATTTGAAAGGTGTATGAACAAAATTTGATAGTATTACACTGTCCACACTACGGACACTCAGCTGTTAGGTTTGCTCCTCAATCTTGAGTGGTGCCTATAAAAAAGGTATTAACAAAAATACCGAACTCCAAAGCAAATGTAAATTGTGGGTAGTCAATGAAAACTGACAAAATCAAACGTTAGACTATATCAACAAACGGAACTAATGGAAAACAATTATTCCTGACTTGGTACAGGTATTTCCCGAAGAAAATGGTGGTTAAATTTTGGTTATATAGCTAGCTAAACCTCTCACTTGTATGACAGTTGGATGAGCAACTCAAAAAGATATAGTAGGTCAATGAGACAATAAATGGGATTCAGCAGCCAAAATTGTGTAAACATACATCACAGACATACAACACAACTGACTAAAAAAATCAAACAACTTACAAAGGCAAAGTTGACCTTAGATGGATTTGGCTATTTGTTAGGTAATTTTTGGTGATATAGCTCTTCAACTATTTTGGTTCTTGTACATCTACGAAATAACTGTGTTCTCGGGCCAGAGGCACAACTATTTAAATAAAACAAAATAGAAAATAAATGTATTACATAAAATTTTTATAAAAGGCAAGATTCATACCACGAAAATGCTTTTGATCAATAAACAAGTGACATATAAACGAATTACAAGTAAGTTGTAGAAACAATCAAATTCATGTAAAATTGAACAGTCAAATTGTTACAAATATTTTTTTTTCGAAAATGAAAAAAGATACAAATGCCCATATAAATAAGCTTCTCTGAAATAAATGATACAGAGAAGCGTTAACAACCATTGCACTTATTGTTTAGCATCGGCTTTCTACGTTAGCAACCATTGCATTTGATTTCAAGCTTCGGCTTCCTATGCCAGTAAATAGCTATTGCCCATAATGTCTAGCACCAACTTAATATGTTAACAACCATTGCACTCATTATCTAGCACCGGAATTTTAAATATTTGAACACAATTGGCAGATTCAACTCCCCGTTAAGTTCTGATTTCACCGATTAACCGATCATATGTCATAGGTATGACAGTGTCATTAACATGGTGGTTCACATTTCTACGCTGTGTCAGGTACAGTATGTATTTTTCCAAAGTGAACAAATGTAGGTCCTTTTCTTCTGGAATGTTTTTTCGTACGTATTCAGCAAGACGCGTCACATATTCAGTATTACTACCCGCCTCTCCGTTAGCTGACATTATTTCCGTGGCCATTGTAGCCATATTACATGGTCCTAAGTAATGTTCGTTCTCGGTGGTTGCTGTATACACAAGTACTTTTCGGATTTCTTGATTTCGAGCAAAGAAATTTTCAACTACGGTGTTGTAGCCTCCCAATTTACTTTCTCTTTTATTTAGATAACTCAATGCTTTCAGGATATGATTTCTGCCATCAATTTTATATGCGACTCCCCAAACATCATCCTAAATGATAAGAAATATATAAGTAAGTTATAACCAACATATAAGAATTCCGCAACGTAATAATTTGTTAAATGTGATTTAGCAAAGCAGAAATTTAACTAAAATTACAAACTTTTTATTCGTTCATAGGTAGACTCCTCAAAACTCATTTTTTATTTTTATAATCAAGACTCCTTTTGGCCCTTTGTAGCATATATAATGATATCCTGGGAATGTACTCCTTCTGGTAGCGAATACACCGTAATATCAATATCATTCAGGGTTGGGTAAATAATATTGATGTTTCATCGCTTTTATAATGTCAGTCGTTAATTGTTCCACAGTCTGCTCTTTAGACTTTTTTACGGGATGCATATTAACAAAGCGGCAGTGGATCATTTCGCTAAGATTTAAACATTTCGTATTGCTTAAATTTTTTGCATGATTTTTCGAAAGTTCAATAAATCAGTGAAGAAATTCTGCAAATTAGAAATTCTTACAAAAAAAGGACAAATGAAAACATATCACATTCAAAGACGAGATTTTCTTTGGAACGGATGCATTTTCAAGATCCAGATTTAGAAGTTTTTCGTCAAAAAATGTGTTTGGACAAATATACGGTTTGCAGTGCCTTTTTTCAGTTACAGAAGTTGCTTGTTTAACATCAAGTGGCAAATATTTCATACATGTTCAGACCGAGAAATAAAAATTACACCCAATAGCTTCTTCAAAGTGGGATGAACCGAATGACGACTGCCTCGAAAAAATGAGGTTATCAGTTTTGCCTTGCAACAGTCGACCTTTGGTCCCGATAGAGTCGTTGAAGGGGTCAAGGCCGTGTTCTTCCTTTACGTCCCCATTCAAACGTGGCTGTGTATTTATACATCCAACACAGCCAAACAGGCGATCCTCTTTAGCATGCACGAATACATGTTGACATGTATCTTGCTTATCCATAATAAGTTATAGATTCCAGTATTATATCATAAAGTATTTCCACAGTAACTTGTGTGTGTAACTGACCTAAAAATGATGCAACATATTGACTTATAGCTCACATAAATAACCTATTAATCAATACGAATGTAGGTAGACCATGTTTCTACTGGGGCGTGTTTTTTTGTTCTTCGGTAGTGAGCCAGAAGAGGTCCATTTCTATTTTTTTGAATTAGGAAGATCTTCTGGCTCTCTTCCACCTCTTCTTTTTAAATAGGTGGTTTAGACGGCAGAGGCACAAAACAAACATGGCGTCGTTTAGTCTAAATGACATTAATAAATTCATGAATGAAGATATATTAGAATGTGAGCTGTGTTATAAACGTTTTATGGTATGACAGCCTTAGTAGGACATCTCTGTAGGACGATAAGCTGGATGAATATAAGAACTACACGGACAATAACAGTTAAGGGACAACTATTTGAAATTCTAGGGAAGGGATTTTGATTCATTGGTGTTTTACGCTACTTTCAACACTCACGATTGGGATCCGAGTAGTATTCAATTTAAATCAATAGATGAGGAATTAATGAAGAAGGAAAGAGGGCATTATTATTCATTTTAATTTGTCGCTAATCATGCCTATTTTTTTTAGCTCTTACCAGGCAACCATATTCATATACGAAATCCTCCTGTCCCCCATCCCAACAAATAAATAAATATCAAATGGTTTTCTCTTATCAAACACAAGTTTAAATTGATCATGCTAATTTTTAACGCCCAGTGACAAATATTTCATGCATGTTCAGGAAAACACGAGATAAAAAGTCGGGTAAATTATATAAAAACGAAGAGATGTGATATGATTGCTAATGAGGCAACTATCCTAATATGAAGTGGATGTAAGCAATTATATGCAACCTAAAGGCCTTCATCAATGACAAAACCCGATACAGTACTGTAAAGCCGTTTATAAAAGGCCATTAAAAGTGTGAAACAATTCAAACGATAAAACTAACGGCCTAATTATACAAAACAAAACAATTTACAAAATATCAAATATGAGTTGAGACATGAACCAACGACAACCACTAAACTACAGGCTCCTGAATTGGGACAGGTTCATAAAGAATATGGCAGGGGTTTATATAAAAACGAAGATGTGCCAATGAGACAACTCTTCACAAGAGACCAAATGATACAGCCATATGTCACAATACGGCTTTCAACAATAAGCAAAGCCCATACCACATAGTGAGCTATAAAAAGCCCCGAAATCACAAATGTAAAACAATTCAATGGTAAAAACTTACGGCCTAACTAATGTACAAAATAAAGTGAACGAAAAACAAATAAGTAACACAGCAACAAACGGCAACCACTGACTTACAGGCTCCTGACTTAGGACAGGCACATACATACAGAATGTGGCGGGGTTAAACATGTTAGCGGGATCCCAACCATCCCCTACCTGGGACAGTGATGTAACACTGAGACTACTATAACTGTGTTATAGTAGTCTCAGTGTAACAGTACAACAACTTGTTTGTGAGCGCTCAATCCTCCCCGAAGCTGAAACAGTAGTGTAGCAGTACAATATAAGAACAACCTGCGCAAATCAGTTGCAATTAGATTAACTCAAAAGATCGGTACGAGACACATAAAAGAAACCGACCAACTAACATTAAGACAATAGACTCAAAGCATCGAACTAAGAGTATTTGCAATTACTAGAAGTTTGTTCAAAGCTAGTTGCAACTAGTACTGAAATAAATCTTGTTCTCCCAGACTTAAGTATCAATCAGTACACAACCAACTGATTTATTAAATAAAAGTCTAAGAAACGTCTGGTATACGTTGTAGACCCATTGATGGCCTTCGGCTGTTGTCTGCTCTTTGGTCGGGTTGTTGTCTCTTTGACACATTCCCCATTTGCATTCTTAATTTTATTACATATAGATCCATATACAATAAAAAAAAAATTGAAAAGTGGTAGTCCGAAGGTTTTGACCATCGAAAATTTGCATTAGAAATAATAGTTAGGACCAGAAGATTTTCTTCAAGGACAGCCAGAGAAAAACGATTTTTTCGAACTTTCTGATATCTTGTTAATCCAGTTCGGTTACTTTAAAAAAAAATGGAAAGACTAAGATTTCCTTTTTGATCAGTCATATTCCAGACAAACATTGACGAATTCTTGTGCAGTTTAAGATTATTCTTAAAAATCAAATAGTGGGGGTTAAGCCTGATTTGTTTAGCAAAATTGAGCTAAAGGAAAGCATGAAGAAAATTGTAACGAACAGAGAACACTTTTACAGTCCTGTCTACTGGACGTATCTTAATTTTCTAAAAAAAATCGTAAACTTAATTTATGTCATCCAACATAGCAAAAACCTGCTATATTCGGCGGTAAATTGCATTTTTATTTTATTGATCTTCCATAGAATATCTCCAGAAGAGGTCCAGATTCATTTTTTTGGACTCTTCACCAGAAGACATTCTGGAGATGTACCGAAGAGACCAATAAAACACGCCCCTGGTTTTGTTCTATAAATAGCAAAGCACATGTAATAAATGTTGCAATACATACCTTCTCCGACCTGATCAAAGTGGCAACCCGACCAGGCTGAAAAAAATAGATTTAAAAATGGTTAAATTGTGTCATTAACACAGGAGCTCGGTTTCGGGGTAGAGGATTTATATATCATTTCATAATTTTATTAATTATCTTCATTTTTTTGCGAAATAAGTTAAACGTATATCTGTTGAATGTACGATTTAGTACGCGTCTGACGCACATAATTATAAGCCTGGTATAATCTGAGACTACTCAGGTATAATTAATAATAATTAAAATAGCATTAGCAAGCCTTCATTAAATTCACAAAAAGCACATACCTTATTTAATAAATAATAGAATTATGATAAATGTTTTACATTTTACATGACATTTCAGAATTAAAAGCGGGTGTTAAAACTTGTTTTATGTTAGCGATTTGTTAAAATAAATAATTATACCTTATTAACGGTTCCTCTATGAGTTACATTTCCCTGCCAGAATCTTCTTTGATAACCATGAATATATCCTATTTCCTTTGATTTGTAAATAAAATTTGGTTTCCAAGTAAGAGATCCGTAACCAAATACCCATATACTGCTTTCCATGTCGATCAAAGATTCTAAAACCGTATTACTCATTTTCTATATTTTAAAGTTTAATAGAACTGAACAGTTCACGATAGCTTGAATATATATAGTCAGAGATATGTCTCTGATATAGTGGTACAAGTATCCGCCAGTCTAGTAATTATACGTACAATTTATCGATATTTTCATTGGTCGTACAGATACAGAGTTGCATCATTCAAATTTATTCTATAGTAATACTACTGCATGATAAATATACATGTTTGTACTGAAAACGTCATCTATTCATTACAATTGTGTTGTTGTTGTGGTATACACGTGGAAATTTTTATATTGACATTTGTTCTGACCTTCACCGCATTAGGTAAACAAACATACGTAATTCATTAATCGATTAATAGAAATAACCTATTTCAAACGGAAATGTTTTTACAGTTACCTATACGGCAAACTACAACGGAAACTTACTTTTATAATTCAGATAATATATTATAATAAGTACATGAAAATGATAAATAAATGATGACTAATAATCATGTGACCCTTGATTAATAAATACAGGTTATTTAAAGTAAAATACAATTTAGTTTCTAGAGATTATCTATTAGGGTGTGGTTGGGGTTTACAGAATAGAGAATATTTGGCCAAAAAAAAATATAGAGAATAATGGGGTGCTAAAATATAAAGAATAACTGCAAAAATTAAAGAATTGGGTAAAAATATACTGATTACAGAAAAGAATTAACAATGTCCAGAATACAGTTACCTAGTAATTACAGAATAGCCAATATTTTTAAAGATAAAGAATAATGAATGAAAAAATCAAAGAATACAGAAATGAAGGACCCCCGTCCATACCCTCATCTATGAGACGCTTTAGAAAGATTTGTGATCACCGCTATCGGATATGATATTCCTCATTTGAACCAGTATAATATTCTGAAGGATATTTATTGTTGATTAGCAGTCTTTCTGCGGTATATATATTATAAACAAAATTGACGACGAAAATAAACATATATTATACATGACGTTGCGCACGATGTTGGTACCAATTCCATTTTGCTATAGATTAGCATTAAAATAAAAACGTAGACGGGTCAGTTCGATAAAAATATAGTGATTTCTGTTTGAATTCATTCCATTTGACTTGAAATTAAAGAAAAAAAGGAACCGAAATTTAAAATACCAGGAATTATAACACTTAAGTATCCCATTTTTACGCAAAAACGTAATGTCCAACGTTTCATTTTGTGTGCAAAAGATCAGAGTTCCGTTTCTCTCCTACGGTATTTTTTCTCTGATCATCGTAAAACTTAACAATAATATTGCTATTGTTATAATTATTCGCGTGTTAAAGCAAAATCAATATCACTGAAACCGTAATCCGGAAAATGTTATTTTTGTAAACGGTCTGAAAAATGTCCAACTGTATGCAAAGTAAGTATATTTCGGGTTTGCGCATTTATACCGTGAAATTGAAAAAGCTGAGAGAAAAAATATTCACTATATTTTGAAAGTTTTTTTACTTTTCTCCTGGTTCATGATATTTTTTTGCCGGAAACCATGCGTATAGTTTCTATTGCAATGACTTCAAAAAGTATAGCCATCTTGTCCCAACGAAAAAAACGCTGTATTTTCTTTAAAATTGAGGTTTTAACCAGCTGTCTATCAAATAAGCATAGTTAGATCATAATAAATAAAACTTGGCGGTAAAGGTTTTTCTGTTTTTCTTCTTAAACAATATAGTGTTTAATATTTTTTCGTTAGGCAACAAGGTTTTTAGATCGTTTCAAAAAGTATAGCCGTTTTGTCCCAACGTTCGCAAAACGTAATTGATGTCATGCTCTGGTTTTTAATTTTATATCGTAATTATTTGTTTCCAGTTTAATTCGAATGAAAATAAAAATGCATGTATAAATTACAATACAACCAATGTATGAGAAAGGAATAGTTTAAGTTTAAATTCAAATGTGGACCAAATGAGATCGATATAAAAAAAATATCGGGATCTTAGGGTTTTTTTTTATAGCGTATTTGTTTTATATAAGGAACATTGTCTATCTGCAAGTTTTAAATCGTCAAAAGTAACATGTATATTTTTTTGTTAATAAAATAAAATAGAGAAAACCCATTGCTGGCAATTATAACAAACAAAGGATATGCCACAAAAATACGGAAATGAGAAAATTAAAACATGAGTCCCGAATGTTTAACTTCCTAAATATTTTGCGACAAAGAAATCATCGGGAAATGATAAAATATAGAAAGGAAACGGAAACGGGAAGAAATGCAACAAAAGGAATAAATATGCAAAAAATAGGAGAATATGAATTCAAAATCTAATTTATATTAAAAATAAATCTGTGTAAATTTGGACATTATTGTATCGGATTCATTAATGCGAACTGCTGCCGAAAGGAAAATTATCAATTATGGCCTGGAAAGACTGACAACTCCTGTAAATGAATTTCATTAAAAAAATATCTATACGACCACTTTGAGTTTTATTTGTAAATTTATGCATTTTTTTCAGACAAACCGAAATCGGTTACCAAATTCACAACAGTAAATTGACATCATCAATAATATGCTTGAACGCCTAAAACTTTCTTTGAAATCGTCGAAATCGCCTTATTTTGAGGAACGTCGTGAAACGCTAAGTAGTACCAACGTCACATGCACATTTAAAGTTTATTACAAAATATAACAAAAAGTAAATTTAAACAAATTTATTGAGGAAAAAACATACCAGTTTATTGAATTAAACTTTACTTGTGTTTTAAAAAATGAAGAGGTCACACTGTTTACTCACTGAAATATACTTTCTGGGTCTCTTTTTTAACCCAACAAATGCTAAATGGAAAAATTATAAAACTTTTATAATATTGTATACTAACAATAAAAACATTAAGGCCCAATCGTCGTTTTAGTAAGCGTTACTGGCCTCCCCATGTCGACCTGTTTCCGCGTCATACCATTTATTGGAACAGCAAGTGTTGACTGTCCCTCTCTAAATATAATTGTATAATATTGAATATGAATTAAATGTGATTATTTCTTTCGTCCGGTATCTAGACCAAAGGGGGCGTTCGTTTGTCTGTGTGAGATGATTAAATACGCAGCCACATCTGGTTAGAATGGGGACCTTAAATCTGTTGCCTGGTGTTGGGAGAGGTTCCAAATCCTTGCACGTTTAAGAACCCTTGTAAAAAGCCATTGGTGTTCGTTGGTGGTCAGTTCATTTAAACATATTTCATTTGTTACTACATGTAAAAAAAGCTTAAGGATCAGACACAAGTTATCGCAACTTAAGTCCTATCCCCAATATACAATACAATACAATACAATACAATACAAAGTGTGTTTATTCCAATTTAAAAGGTCTCGCAGGGGTCAATGACAAAGATACAATCATAATTCAGTTATACAAACAAATACAGTACACGAGCACAATGTATAATACCAGTGTGTCAATAACAAAAACAATATAAGATGATTTTAAAGCTAGGTTTAGTTCTCTGGATTAAGGATGTTTTTGGCAGTGCGATCAAAGGGAAAACAAACGTTATGGTAAATTGATTGCCGCTAGCTGGAGAAGACATGTATGCTAGTTTTTAATTTTAATTTAAAGTCTTTCTAAAGTTTATGATATGCTTTTAAAATTTTCTTGTAAAATTTATTCTGATCAAAGTAAAAGGAGACAGAGGTACTAAGGGATACACCTAAGTATTTTCAGTGTTGTACACATTCAAGTCATGTACTTTATAATTAAATTTATGACGTATATGTCTGCCCGCCTTTTTGGAGATTAACATTTTGGTGTTAATTGGATTTACGATCAGTCACAAGTCATAAAAAATATAATAAGTTAAAAATTATAAGTATAATTACATGCAACAACAACAATAGACAATTATAAATTTGAACAAAAGTTACAGAAAAAGTACACAATATCACAAATATATAACTGTCATACGTCACAATACATACTTATTCCCCGACATACATATACAATATATGTACATTGTCGTAAAATATAAAATTTATTTGTATGAGCTTTAGAAACAGGACGAAAAGCGAGGCTCGCTTAAGTTTACATGGATCGTATCTATCTTTACAGGCTCTTTACATCTATAATAAATAGAATGCAATATCCCTGTTTGTAATAAGAATCAAGCTCCCAAACCAATTCGTTGTAACTATGAAATAATTTAGTAAATGTCTTAAGTAATTTGTGGTAACGAAATCCCTGACTCAGTAATTAACCATTTTAAATAATTATATATAGATTACGTTCAATGAAATCTAAAATGTCAATACATGCATGAGTTTAGCGAACGAGTTAGGAGATGTACACACCGTAAGAAGGGACCAAATGAATAACTCCGTCCTAAAAATGAATATATCATAAGGAAGGAGAAATCGTCTCTTTTGTCGTATCTGTTATAGTATAAAGTTTCCCGTGGGAAATTGAAATATCCAAATCAAGCAAAGAACACTCTGTTTAAATTAGATTTATTCAAATAGATATAAGAAGATGTGGTATGAGTGCCAATGAAACAACTCTCCATCCAAGTCAAAATTTATAAAAGTAAACCATTATAGGTCAAAGTGCGGTCTTCAACACGGAGCCTTGGCTCACACCGAACAGCAAGCTATAAAGGGCCCCAAAAATTACTAGTGTAAAACCATTCAAATGGGAAAACCAACGGTCTAATCTATATAAAAAACGAGAAACGAGAAACACTTATGAACCACATCAACAAACGACAACTACTGAACATCAGATTCCTAACTTAGGACAGGTGCAAACAATTGCAGCGGGTTTAAACGTTTAAATGGTACCAAACCTTCACCCTTTTTCTGAAACAATAGTGTAACATCACAACATAGAAAGACACACTATAAAATGTCAACTGAAATGGCTTTACTCAATCAAAGCACATATTAACACCAGTAAACATACACTGAACAAATAAATTTGACCTATGATACAATGTAAATACAAAATAAATAAACTAAGGGAAGAATAATAAAAGTAACATGTTATACCGCTATGAAATGTTAAACAATTTAAGAAAAACAATATGCTCGAATAAAAATATCAGCCATTTGCAATTACTTTAAACACAGGTAAATGAAAATGATTTTGTTGTTAGGTATACGTATACAGTTCAAATAGAGAAAGGAAATATTTTTACAAAATAAATAAGTTTGATGTTCATAGTACGAAGTGAAAATTTATAGTAATACCAAACACTTATCAAAGCTGGTATATAGACCATGCAGCTATAACCCTGAATAACA